TTCCTATTATTTTATTAATTTTAATAGTAGTATTTTCTTCCTTAAAGAGGCTTTTTAATATTACTATTAAAGCCTAGGTTATAATATCTATTTTTAGTATTATCTTTATTAAATAAAAAGGAAAAAAATAATATAAATATTCCTTAGGGAAAATAACTAATAAAACTTATAAAGATATTTTATTAAAGTTTACTAGGGTAATTACTAATCTCTATATATAAGTAAAGACTTTTAAACCCAACCTCCATAAGCTTGCTTAGTTAGCCCGTCCCACGGCTCGAGCCAACGGGTAAGCACAGCTAAGAGCGGAATGCATGCCACAGCTAGCGCGGACCCCGAAAGATTAGCAGTTCTGCAAATACTTTAGACATACCCATTGGCTCGAGCCATAGGGAGGCCAACTAAGCAAGCTTAGTTAGGCATAAAATCCCGAGACATGCATAAAACCTTGAGATAGTTAGCCTCCTTACGGCTCGAGCCACGTGAAGATGCAAGCCACGTTTAAACGTCATTTTGCTAGGTAACACGCATCCAGCCATCAAACGTTATGGGGCTGGTCTATTACCGAGGGCTCAGTAATTATATTAACACTTGACTTGAAAAGGCAGGTTTAGATAGAGTTAGCTAGTAAAAAGATACGAAACATTCCATATATCATTCCCGGAGTCTCTGTGTGAGGCGCGTGATGCGAGTATCAGCAGTGGGGTCTATTAACTCAAAACAACACATTTTATCAAATCAGTTCAGGCAGTATACCACTACCTAACACAATTGCCCAAGATGAGCTTTTCAGTCTGTGCCCGGAGTCTCGGTGATGATGGAACCGAAATATCTTGGCCGAGAATGCAATACTGCAATAGCCTAAGACTACAATTAAAAGAAGTACTCAGAATGTAACTGTGAGACAAGCGTCAAGGCATTATTAGCTTGTCCAACGTTTGCATACGATGTGTCCCCATGGCCTTTTGTCATTTCCCCAAGAGTCAATGAAAACGGTTCAAGAAACCTTTGTAGCGAATTAAATTACATGTCAGCTGGCACACACTAGACTGCAAGGCACGGGAAACCGGGATTTGCCTGTGCCCGGTGCAACCACCTTCTAGCTTTTGGACCCTGACTTCACGCTAGAGGGCATGAATGGGGTGATTTAAAGTTTACTGCATCCGTACACGGTACTGTTTGTACTTTTCGGCCGAAAAGCAGGGCAGGGAATAAACGCTTAGCAACTGATGCACATAGCGCGCTCGATATTCATGGTCCCCTGGTCGCCGCTCGATTGTTTTGATGTTTTTGGATGGCGAAGGCCTGTAGGATCCTATCGATGGCTATGAAACCCTCTTCTGGGTTTATCTTTGCTGTATTCTCGACTATTTGCTAGGTCATTAATGGACATGATATCAGTAGCTTTATCTCCTTTTATATTCGGCCACTCGCACGAAACAATGCTCCATTCTCTTTTCCCTTGATATTCGTAATTGAGAACTCTCCCTTATCTTATTTCCACTGACGATGCTTCTTCGACGACTCAAGCCACTTTTGGCCCTGGCCTTAGTGGGTGCAGTAGCTGGTGCAAAGCTAGTTACGCGGCTTGCTTCGTGTCCCGAAGGTAAGGTAGTCATTCAGACGCAGCCCATCGTGATCGTTGATGGGTCGTCCACTTTGTATGAGACTTTTACAACGTATGCATACCATGTCGGTATTCCCGACTTCCCTTCTTCGTTACTGATCTGTGCAGCACGTTCATGATCCCAAACGATGCTGCTTATACCAGCATCACCATCCACGGTGATAGAAATGCAACGATATTCACCATTCCGCCCACTGGCTTCCGAGGGACATCGCCCGTCGTCACAGTCATTATCATGACGACCATCCCTACTGGTGCTCAAATTGACCATTCAACGAGCGAACGTGATGGTATGACTCTACCACCTGTTTATCCAGGCGGATCATCGATCGTGGCTAATGGTCGACCAGAAAATGAATCTAGTAATGGCGATAGAACTCAAGACCCGGCCACGCAGCTCCTTCAGTCTCTTGACCCGCAAGCAACCTTGACAGTCCCGGGAGTCAAGGATCCTCACAGCTCCTCTCTCATGACGATGACTTCATCCCCTCCTGGAGATGCAAGTTCTACTATATCAAACGGATCACCAGAAGCCGAAAGCCTTATCTCATCAACAGCGACAGGAAAAGCCTTCTCAAGTCAGCCAGGAACTACTACTACAAGACGGTCGAACACAGACATCAACACGTCTCTGACAGCCTCCACTATTATTGCGCAGCTTCCATCGGAATTCACATACTCACAGGCTCAGAGTACGTGGAGCAATACACATACGACATGGCTTACACATATCACCTTCGTGACTATGACCTCTACTGCAGCAGTATCCAAGACTCCCACTTACATAGCAGTACCTTCAGGGACAGATAGTGTTGGGACAGTGGTCGTTGAGGTTTCTAAAACTACTACACATACCAATCCTACATCAGCTCAGTCTGCAGGATCGGGGATTGCATCCATGCCGTCGTCAGCAAGCATTCTCAGTGATTCCCCTACTACTATTTCTACGAGGCCTCCTGTTGCAGTGACAACTGGCACAGGTCGCACTGGCACTGGCACTGATAACACCGCTACTGCCGATACAGATACTCCTTCCCAAAATACTCGAACAGACTCCGTGTCTTCTGAGCTATCTGTCTTGCCAGTTTCTTTCGTGACACCAAAGAATCACTTCCCTTTAGTCTCTTCATGGGCGCCTTCAGCCTCTATCTCCCCGCCTTCTATTACAGAGACTGCCATGGACAGTGGTAGTACTACCATCAGCAGCAACAGAATAGAGACTTCAACAAAAGTTTCCCTACCAAGCTCTTTGTCTGCCAAGTCATCCGCCTTGTCAAGTTCATCCCTCTCCTTGAATACCACTGCTTCAATCGAAGGCAGTAAGAGTACCATTATCAGCACGAAGGCTTCAACGCTGGCCTCTCAAGGAGGCTCTTCGTCTTCCGATATATCTACCATTTCAAGTTCCTCCCCGTCTTCGAAGACTACCGGTACAACTGAAGGCGATACCTCAACACAGGATGCTACAAATACTGATGGTAGTAACACAATCAGCACGGATACCCGAGCCGACGCTTCTGACACAAAAAGTGTACCTGCCTCTTTAGGTTCTTTCCAGTATGCCAGTATTAGCAGTTCAACCTCAGGCTCTATCTCAACGCTATATGCTACAGTGACTATTTCAGACACTATTGGGACCACCATAATCAGCATAAAGGCTTCTGAATCAACTACTGTCTCCTTGATGTCTTTCTTCTCTGACACCAGTCTCCTTTCCATCACTTCTGTTTCAGCTACAGGCTATACCTCGCCTCTTCACAGTACGGAATCTGTTACAGACAGCCACAGTGGAATGTCAACTAGCACGGCGACATCATCTGAGTCTTCCATCAGCTCAAGTTGGCTTGTCGAAGTGTCAATAAGTGTCAACAGTGGTACCACGAGTGCAAGTCCCATTGGATCTTTGGTAACGGAAGCGACCAACACGGATACTGAGGGTACTACTGCGTATACTACCGACACCTCCTCGGAGCTTGGGCCGAGTGGTTCCGTCATCGTTCAGCAACTTGCCCAGTCTGTCCCTGGTACAACAAACACCGTTTCCGCTACTGATAATACCACTGAAGTCTCTTGGCAGACATCCTCTGAGTCTGGCCCGATGAGAACATTATCTGCGACATCAACTGTTACATTATCTTTCTATTCGACTACAGGAACTTTAGATACCTCGACAAGCAGTATAATTGACTACGTGTCTACCTCTGATACCACTATCACTCTTTCGTCACAGACATCATCTTCCTTTTTAACTTCAGCAACCTCAGATATCTCGACAAGTATCACTGATTACGCGTCTGCCTCTGATGCCACGATCATAGTGTCTACACAGACATCTGGGTCTAGCATAAGTAGAGTGGTAGCCAACCAACGACTAGTTCAGTCTTCTCCATACACACAATCCACCACATCAGGCCCTGACAGTACTACTGCGGTCTCTACGAAGAATTCGCCTGAGCCTGATACTACAGAAACCTCATCAGTTACCTTATTTGTTTCTTCTACTCCAGGCACTAAGAGCACCAATGCGATCTCTACGCAGAATTCGTCTAGGCCTGACACAACAGAAGCCACATTAGTTACTTTATCTATTTCTTCCACTCCAGGCACCGATTACATTGCTGCGGTCTCTATGCAGATTTCTTCTAGGCCCAGTACCACAGAAGACACATCAGCTACCTTACCTGCCTCGTCTTCTTCACCAAGCTCGGACGCCTATATGAGCATTATGGGCTCTTCCGATTCCGTCTCATACTTGATAATCACTACCACCGGAACCGGGACTGATACTGTCACTATCACGCAGATCCAATCAGGGTCAGGTTCTTTTAGTGCAGTTTTGATCAAGCTGCTGGATCGAACGTCGCCATACATCATCACTTCATCTTCTGATAAGACACCTATGGCTACAACTATAGTTAGTGTAATGCCTGTTGCCTATACGCCTTCTGATGTAACTATCTCCCTGGATAGAACAACGTCATCCGATGGATCTACTTCTTCTGATGGAACAGCTCCGTCTCTAACTAATACACTTTCTCTCGGAGCCGTATCTTCTGATGGAACTGTATATTCTGGTGGTATTACATCTACTGATAGTCCAGTTACATCTGAGTCTATAACTACAATGTTGCCTCTTGGAAGTACATCTTCCAATGGCTATACCTCCCCTGACGAGACCAAAACGACCCTTTCTATTGCATCTTCTGATGGTTTTACCTTCCCTGATGGAGCAACTTTCACTACGACCCTCACTACCATATCAACTGATGAGCCCATATCTTATAATGGGCTTATATCTTCTGATGACAATAAGTCTTCTGCTGCTACGTCGTCCGGCCAATCTACATCTTCTGGCGGGTCTATATCTTCGGAATATATGTCTTCTGCTACATCATTATCTGATACCTCAATATCTTCTGATGACTATACGTCTTTTGCTACCACATCGTCTGACGAATCTACATATCTGGATGGATCTACATCTTCCGGCGGGCCTGTATCCTCTGAAGAATATACGTCCTTTGCTATATCATTATCTAATACCTCGACATCTTATGATACTGCAACGTCTTCTGATACCTCGAACTCTTTCCATGGATCTACAGGTTTGGTTAGGATAGATTCAACTTCACCAACCACTACCACATCCTCTATCGACACTACATTCTCTCGTGAAGCAGCTACAACTGCATATACAGCTACAATGTCGCCATCCCGATCTGTTCAGGGATCCCATACTCCCTTTCAGCAGTATCAATGGGCCAACACCACCTCTTACGATATAACAACTACTACTACATTTACCACTTCGACAAGTGCAACCTCACCAGGCCAAACAGACACTGTCACCGCCTGTGAGTCATGCCAGTGGTCTGCATCCACAAGTACTATATCGAGCTCGGCTACAGGGGATACGGGAAGTGTTGTTATCTATCAACCAGATCCATCGACTAGTCAACCATCTCCCGATACGACCAACGCCGACGTATCTAGAACAATGGCAGACACAAACACAAAAACGGACACGTCTACATCTAATTCGCCTTCTAGTATCGGCAACATTATCCTGAATCAGCTAGATCAATCCACTATTCAATCATTTCTTGATACAACGAATACCAATACATCTGCAGCAAATACAGACATGACTACATCGACAGATTCGACTTCTAGTGAGGGTAGTGTTGTTGTCTATCAGCCAGCTCACTCAACTAGTCAATCATCCTCTGATACGATGGCCACCAACACACCAACAAACATAGACTTGTCTACATACACAGTCTTACCTCCAAGTTCGGATAGTGTTATTGTCAACCAGCCAAACGAATCGACTAGAGAAACATTATCTGATACAACGACCACTGACACATCTACAGCAGACACAGACATAGACACGTCTGCATCCACAGCTTTGCCTTCCACTGTGGGCAGCGTTCGTTCCGATAAGCCATACCTGTGGGTGACTGTCACTTCATTTGACGCAACAATCACAGCCACAGCTACAAGCACTATTATTCCGCCTTTTGCAGGACCGACAGGGGCTGTCGATATCAATAACTCAGATCCATCAACCACTGAAACGTCTTCTGGCGGAACAAGCACCGACGTTTCTACAGCCACATTGGCGCCCTCGACATCCACTTATGTAGACAATGTTGCTATCAATCAGCTGTATCAGTGGGTGACCGTCACCTCATACGATGCAACAGTTACAGCCGTGGCTACAAGCACTTTTATGCCTTCTCTCGGAGAACAGACGTGCACTATCATTGTGTATGAGCCGGAACATTGGGTGACCATCACCACTTATGCCGCCGTTACTTCTGCATCTACAGCCACTCTATCCCCGTCTCTGGCGGGACAGGTAGTAACTGTTGTTGTCTATGAGCCACAGCCATACGAGACTATCACGTCATTTGGAGATGTCACGGCTGCATCCACCACCACCATACCTCAGTCTGTTTTAGGGGAAACTGTGACCGTAGTGGTCATTGAGCCGCAGTCATACGTGACAATCACTCGATATGGAAGTGTCACAACATCGACTATGACAACAGACAGTCCAACTGGACTCCAGAACGTTGTGACCGTCATTGTTGATCTCCCTCAGTTATATACAACTGTCACTAGCTATGGTTCTTTCTCTATACCTACGACTACAACATATCCACCTTTCAATGCAGGAGATGTCATGACAGTGGAGGTGGATCTCCCTCAGCTGTATACAACTGTGACCAGCTATGGCTCGATTTCCACGCCTAGCACAACGGTCTACCCGGTCTCCCATGACGGAGACGTTATTACTGTATTAGTTATTCTACAACAACTGTATACTACTGTTACCAGCTATGGATCTTTCTCTACACCCACGACTACGACATATCCTGCATCTAGTGCAGGGGATATTATGACTGTGGAGGTCAATCTCCCTCAACTCTTCACAACTGTCACAAACTATGGTGCCTTCTCTGCACCTAGCACAACAACGTACCCAGTCTCTGTCACAGGCGAAATCATAACCATAGAGGTCAACCTGCCACAACTCTATACAACAGTCACAAGCTATGGTACTTTCACTTCACCTGGAACTAATACACACCCAATCTCTGTTGTAGGTGAAGTCATCACTGTTGAGGTTGATCTACCGCAGTTATACACGACAGTCACAAACTACGTTCCAGGTATCACAGCCCCTGCTGCAACAACCCTGCTGGAATCTGCTCCTGGCGATGCCATTACTGTGCTTCTTGCTCTTCCGCAGTCCTATACGACTGTCACGACCTATGTTGATAGCCTGACTACACGTTCAACTACGACATATCAACCTTCTCTTGATTGGGACTTTGTTACTGTCATGGTCAAGATCCCTCAGGCGTACACTACTGTTACTAGTTATGGTTCTTTTGCTTCTCCGTTGACAACGAAGTTGCAGCCGTCGGCTCCAGGGGACGTTTGCACGGTGTTAGTCGATTTTCCTATCTCATATTCAACACTCACTAGCTATGGCTCCTTTACTCAGCCTATGACCACCACTTTGGCACCCAACGATGGCTTAGCTACTGTTGTTGTTGGACTTCCTCAACCATATACAACCATTACTAGCTATGGTATATATACAGCTGCCGCAACTACGACACTGGAACCCTCAGTGCCTGGGAGCGATGCTACTGTTGTTGTTCAGGTGCCACAGTCGTATACAACTCTGACTAGCTTTGGCGATTTCGCAGGACTCTCGACCACAACACTAGATCCCTTAGTACCAGGTCCTGTGGCTACTGTTATCGTCCAAGCTCCGCAACCATATACGACTGTCACAAGTTATGGTCCTTTTACAGTAGAGAAAACTATAACGATAGAACCCTCTGTACCGGGAGGTCTTGCTACTGTTATTGCCGAGGTTCCGCAGTCATATACAACTGTGACTACCTATGGCACTGTCACCGCCCTTCAGACTTCAACACTACAACAAGCGGTGCCTGGCACTCTTGCTACTGTTATTGTTCAGGCCCCGCAGCCATATACAACCGTTACTAGCTATGCGTTCATCTCAGGAGCCGTAACTACAACCTTGCCCCCGGCGTCTCAGGATATTGTCGCTACTGTTCTCATCCAGCTACCGCAGCCATGTACTACTGTAACTACTTATGGGTCTTTCACTGCCCCTATAACTACCACTCTAGCACCTTCTGCCCCTGGAACCTTGGCTACTGTTCTTGTTGGACTCCCCCAACTATACACAACCGTCACCAATTACGGGTTTATCACCGCACCAGTCACTGCTACCTTACCACCCGCCTCACAAGGCGGTGTTGCTACTGTTTCTATCCAAGTCCCTCTGTCTTATACAACTACAACGACTTACGGAGCCTTTACAGCTGCTGCAATTACGACTATGACCCCTGCCTCTCAAGACGGTGTAGCTACTGTTGTCGTTCAAGTTCCCCAGTCTTATACGACTCTAACTACTTACGGTTCTTTCTCCAATAGAGCAACTGCAACCTTAGCACCAGCCTCGCAGGGGGATTCTGGCACCGTGATAATACAAGTTCCGCAGCCATACACGACTATTTTCAAGTACGGTTCCTACACGACAGGGGCAACCACCACCATGGCGCCAGCATCTCAAGGTGATCCTGCTACTGTCTTTGTTCAAGTCGCCGAGTCGTATACAACGGTAACGAGCTATTCCACTGGATTCTCAGGGTCAAGCACATCCACGGGTCCAGTACCAACTGACGGCTCACCTGCGACTGTATGTATTGTGCTTCCTGCCGTCGGCACACAAGTCGCCGACCAGACATGCGACAATACAGGCTTGGAATACGCCATCTACGCTCACAATTACTTAAATTCTGACGCTCCAAATTTTTCATCTTTCAATGCCGAATCGTTCCAGAGCAAGCTGCCGAGTTACACTGGTATTACAGACCGAATCGGCATTCAGGAGGTTGGAGGAGGGACGTCCGGAAATCCGCTTGCCCCCCAGAGTATTTATCCCCTCTCGCCTATTCAGAATTGGCAGTACAAAGCAGTCAATCATCGAGCATTCTTATACGCACCCATCAGCGGGGAGTATTCTATCATAGTTCCATACTCCGATGAGATCACATTGGTCTGGTTCGGTAACAAGGCTATGACTTCATGGACGCGCAGTAATGCGGATTTGGAGCAGGGTTTTTCGTGGGGACCTTCAGCCTCGAAGACTTACAAGATTCAGCTCACGGCGGGTACTTATACCCCGTTTCGTCTGTTGTGGGCTAATGCCCAGGGGGACTATGCCATGATCGTCACTGTTACAGCGCCCGATGGAACTGTCATTGTTAATGGATCTGGGTCGAAGAACGACTACTTTGTTAGATTCACCTGTGACCATCTCAACCTTTCATTCCCTAGTTTTGGAAGTGGTGGTTAGTCTTGAAACCCTCTGTCATTCTTTCTATTTCCTATGTATGTCAGTGGCCAATACAAGTACATGTTATGAACACCGTCTCAAACTCTCTGAAGGCTGACTTATTGACATAGCTGCTTGTGATGTAGCAATTTAACACCTGCCTTTGACCACTGATGGAGATAAAGTGCAGACTATAGAATAAAGATCAGGCATTTCCCTGCACTCCTTTTTGTTTTTTCATTCCTGCGTCTGGTGATTTGAACAGGGATTTTACATCTTAGCTCTTCAGTGTTTCTTGCAGCCATCTGGAGGTGCTTAAGTCTGGGGCTTACCCTGTGCCAACTGCACCGGTTTGTCTGCTAAATAACACTAATCCACGTTGGGGAATTACAACTATACTAACTGCAATAGGAAGTAGCAAACTGCAAAGGATAGAGGTAAGAAAGTGAAATTAATAATTTACTTTAGTAGAGATAAATAAGGGTATAAAATAATAAGATTTCAATAGCTCTGCTTTATAGAGAGAGCAACTTCCCAGCTGCACACCTCCCTCAATTGCAGTCACCTCCTACTGCCGGCTAGTATGGTTAGAGCATACAGAGGCTAACTTTGTCTACATACTGTCCTGTGATATATATACTTCCAGTCGCTGCTTTATAGAAAAAAGAATTATGCTTAGGATATCGATAAAAAAAACTGGATCGAGGAGCAGACAAACTGAGAAGAATTCGACTGACAGCTTGTTATAAGGCAAACAACAGTTTACCTTCACTGATTGTGTTTATTTCTTAGTTAAGAAGCAGTCTACTGAATAGTAAGAGTAAGTCTTAGAACAGTATTTAAAACTGTAAGGAGATAGCAAGCCGTATAGCTTGAGTAATATAGTAGCGAGGATTTTGAAAATCGAGTAATCTCTTTAGTTTATCAGTTAATAGTTTACTACTATTTTAGTATGAAACCTTGGTAGAAAGAATGGAATAAAGGACGCTTTGCTATACTCCAGTACAATACCCAATGCAGCTGTAACTCGCCATCCTACTAGTCCCATCATAGTATTTACCCCTCAACTTCTTATCGTGGGCTACCATTGCAATATCCTAATACGTCTCACTGGCAATATTCACCTTTGTCCGATATCGCAACGGTCTGGGGAGCTGAAGTACGGTTCTGGACCCTTTCCTGTCAGGGCACCAGATAAGACCAAGGCCCGAGTCGGTGTCGCTTAACCACAATCTACATAACGATCTGGGGTAGGAAGGCGGGGAAATGGTGCTCTACCAACGATAAGCTTTGAAGAAGCTTCCCGATTCGGCTTGATACCAACAGTGCAGGAAAGGGTGCCAGATACAGGCACTGTGCTTTCAGCTGATAGCGGCTATGCCGGACGTACATTCTGACATTGAGATTACAAGGACTTGCAGTGTGCCTTCAGGTGCTAGGGCATGTCTAAACGCGGCGTTGTTGATTGTTATATAAACCAACTCCCCCTTCGGTGGTAAAATCAGTCTTCATAGCTTCTCTTGATCGTCAACCGTCCGCAATTACACCATGGATAAAAAGTCATCCGAAGATCTTGCTCGGGTTGAGCCTATTAACCGTACCCCCTCGGTTAGCAAGGGGTCCATATCGACGCTGACGACGGGCGTCTTCGCGCTCAGGGGCACAAAGCTGAACTCGAGAGATCTTTCTCCTGGCTGGGTGCACTTTCTCTGGCATACAGGTTAGTTTCTTACATCATGACACGCTCAGACCTTCCTAACCATCCTTGTCTTCCATTTCCAGTATCACGCACTCGTGGCTCACATACGCTTCGTCTTTCGGCCTCGTGCTAATCTACGGAGGCGGCGTCACTACGTTGTTTGCGCCGCTCATCGCCACTGTCACCCAGTGGATTGTTTTTCTCGGCTTGGCTGAGCTGTGCTCTGCGTTTCCATCTTCTGGTGGACAATACCACTTTACGTATATCATCGCACCGCCGAAAACTCGCAATTTTGGCGCCTACGTTACAGGATCGATCAATATTATCGCATGGTGGATCACAACCTGCTCCGGTCTAATCTATACAGCCATTTCTGCCTTTGGATGTGCTGCGGCTTGGTTCCCGGACTTTGCACAGCAACGTCACCAGGTCTACCTATGCTACCTGGCTGTCACTGTCCTCTCATGTAAGCTCTAGACACTTATTCTGAAAAGCCTCTGCTGACCTGTTGCCTCTCAACAGTAATTCCAATCTACACCATCAAACAGAGACACCTCGACTTTATGACCGAATCGATTACAGGCTTCTCTCTCATTGGAATGGTATTGACCATTGCAGTGTGCTTAGGCATGGCTGATGGAGACTACGCCCCGGGTACAATTATGCTTGAGAACCGTGGCATCAGTGGATGGAATGCTGGTACGGGCTGGCTCCTCTCCATTGCTGCTGCACTTTACTGCTTCGCAGGGAACGGTGCGGTCACACATATCGCCGAGGAGCTACTCAGCCCAGGCCGCAAGCTTCCCCAAGTCTTGTTAGTTGATCGAGACTTTGAGCTGTAATCTAACGCTAACTGAATTCCAGGAACATGAGTATGGCCATGGGTATCGTCATAGTTATTCCGTGAACCGTTGCTATGCTATATTCCATCAAGGACTTGGCGGCTGTCCAAAGCTCCTTTTCTCCCTAGCTTCGAGGTGTTTTACCAAGCCACTGGAAGCAAAGCCGCTGCAACTGGTCTGCAAGCTTACTTGACGTTCCTCTACTATAGTAAGCTCCTCATGCTGGTTTTGTGTAATACCGTCCGACCAAGTTCCCAGCATTCATTCCAAGTCAGTGGGTGACCTGCAGCCGTATCACCTGGGCTTTTGCCCGTGATGTAAGTAAGAACTTCCTTGTAACAAGTGATGGCTGACATAGATGTACAGCAAGGACTTCCGTTCGCCGAATACTGGCAGCATATTGATCCTAAACGTGGTATCCCATGGAGAACAACGCTTCTTTCTGCAGCATTCTGCGTTCTTTACGGTTTGATCTACGTCGCAAGCACAACAGCCTTCAACTCGATTATCAACGCAGCTTGCTTGATGCTGAATGTTTCATACGTTATCCCTCAAGGCGTCTTACTTACCCAAGGTCGCGATAAGTTGCCACGACGTGCCTTCAGCCACGGTAAATTTGGCTATGCGGTCAATCTGTATTCGGTTGTGTTCATGATTGTTATTGGTGTTGTCTTCTGCCTTCCGCAGACCAACCCAACAACTGCCGGCTCCATGAACTAGTAAGTAGTCCTTGATGAATCCCACCCCCCCAAGTTTATAGCTGACTTGAAGCTTCAAGTAACGCCCCCGTCGTTGTTGGTCTCTTCATCGTCATTTGCCTTCTGTGGATCGAGCGACGATCCAAATTTAATGGTCCTCACATTGACTGGGACTTACTCAACGAAGCTAATGGGGAGGAATGATCAATATCTCGGAGTCCTATAGAATGGCGAGTCGGGGAAGTAGATGACAAAAGGGACTATTCGTGCCACTGTGTAGTTTCTATGATCCTGTCTTCCTTGCGGATTCCTCCTTTAATGTCGCCTCAATACAGAGACACGATGCAACCTGCAAAGAGCATTTATTTAATTGAGTGGATGCACATTTTAACTTTGGTTCGACAAAGAGCCTTCAATCATAGGTCAAGATTTAAGTATCAAATCACTGAATGTAGTCTACCCTCGTGGTATTATGCTTCGATATTCTCTTTCATCTTGATCGGAGTCTTTGCGGGGATGACATGAGTAGGTCATTGCCGGCTAGAGCTACTAAAAGGGGGCGTTTCTTACTACCCAATTAGGCAGTAAGAAGTACATCGATAACCCTTAGTCGGTAGTAGTAATACCCCTCTTCTCCTCAGCCCTCGTAGCATATCTTCTCCATTTCGGGTTAAGCATGTAGATAGGGATTCCCAGGATGAAAATAGCACCAAAGATGCCAGCCAGTACCCCAAAGGTCCATGTGTAACCTCCGTGTTGCACCATGTCCGTTAGTCCGTAAGCAACACCAAATGACACAATATTCTTTGTTCCAATAACCATAACAAGAGCTGGTCCTGGATGCTTAGGACTGGCCTCAGCAGCGAACGTGGTTGTGACAATGAGGACACTGGTAAATGTCACTTGGAAGAGCGTCCAACTAACAAGGATTCCCCAGTATGAACCGCCACCTTCGAATGCCGCTGTTGCCATGAACCCGTATAGGATAAGCATTGAAAATCCGAGGATAGCAACAGGCATCAAGACGATCAGTCTGTGCTCCGGCTTGTGAATCCCATGATTCCGTCTGGCCATCCATATAATGAAGGGTTCGCCCAGCAAGGTACAGTATGCAGCACCGAGCAAACCGCCGATGATACCCCCAAGATTGATGAGTCCAATGTCTTTGGGATCCCATCCATATTGCTGAAGAACGGCATCGTAGGTAAGTGAGACATCCACCACGCAAGCGAGGGTGATTGAGCTAGCAAGAACAGTGAAGAGAATAGCAGGAGAGGTCATGCTCTGAGCCATACGCAGCAAAGATAACAACATGATCTGTCCCGGGGTCTTATGGGAGCTGCCCCATGGTTTCAACATCTGAGCATAACTCTTCAGCGGTACGCAAGCCTCGTCTCCTCGCTGATCTTCAATACCATGGCGCTCGAGATACTCTTGAGCCTCGCTGTCTGGAACAACATGCGTGACCCCAAAGTCATCTGTCATGACAGCCCTTCCATCGAGACTGACAACTGGCCTCTGGAAGCGAGTTTCAAATCCGAATAGGAAGGCAAGGATCAGGCCCACGCCAACCAGTATAGCGAACACCCAATAGAACCATCTCCAGCCAAGGGCTGCAGCCTCGTAACTACTGGTCAAGCCTATCGTACTACTGAGGACATTCTGGACGGTCCAGTATAAGCCAAAGACACGCCCGCGCTCATGGAGAAAGGTAACCTCGGTAAGCATCAGCGGTAGCAGAGACTCAGAAGCACCAGTTGCTATGCCTTGCATGACACGGCTCGCTAGATGGCCATTGTAACTATTTTGGGCCGCTGAGCCTATTGTGGCGGCGAGAAGGACAACGGTCGAGATTAAGAAGACCGGACGCCGGCCATATGCTAGTGCTACTGGAAGGATAATAAAATTGCCTTTTGCATGTTAATACACATCAGCTGCCCATCTTCGCAAAGGTTGATATTAGCTTACCGAGGCCAACACAAAGAGATGGCAGAGTAAGGAGAAATGCAATTTCAGATGGGCCATATCCCTGTGGGCCGTAGAGTTGGAAGAAGATCCCCAAGATTGGTCCCAGGCCACCAATCAATGCCAAGCCCATGATAGCTTGTGGAAATGTTAGTCTGACCAGTAAGATATCCAGAAGGTTGTATTGATTTACTCACAGAACCAGCAACATGTCCCAATAACTGCCCATTTCTGCCATGGCTTCCAGTTAAGAGGGTCGTTGGGGTTACTCGAAGGAATGGGAAGACGTCTGATATTCCCATGGGCATCTACGAGGAGCGCATTTCCTTCTACGTGTCCTGATGGTGCATTTGAACCTTTAACTGGTTCCTCGGTGTGCTCCGCGTATTCATTCTTGGCGGCCATGTCGTTCCCCGATATGACGGATTATAGAACAGTTTGAAGATAGGAATAGTCGAATCTCGAGAGAAGGTATCCGAGGATCTTCCATGACTTGATCTGGCATCTGTCGAATACACAGTATATATGCAAGCCAGATCAAGTATGATAGGCGGAAGGATGTGGACAACCCGATTCTAAGATGCGGGGAAGCACACTTCTCATCTCATTAGGGCCAAGTCAGATTCTTACGAAAGTCAACTTGTTGATCCGGAAACTTCAGATACAGCTCGTTTAAAGGCCTGTCGAATCATTGAATACGACGGATCCGAACCGAAGAACGGGCCGGGAAAGTGGAGCCGACAAAACAACCGAAGTGCTTAAACTCTTAAAAACGCGGGGTACGATGATCTACCGTGGCTGTTTAACAGAAGATGTGCGTTATCTGGGGTAACTTCACACTGTTCAGGGTCAGGTTGCGATACTCGGAGTACAACGCTAAGCTGGTGGTTATTTGACTTGAGATCTCGACTCGGGAAGGAGGAAAGCGCCTAATAGATAGGCTTACGGAAGTAGCTATATTAAGTCAACATCATCACATCTATTAATGTCAATAAGCGGATGGAAATTAGTATTACCTTAAACATCTTTCCAAACTATTGTGATCTGCCCCGAAGAGTCCAAAATGGCTTCGCATAACTCTAGTTCCACTACTGAGGCGAGACTTGCGGCCGTGGAGAAGCTAGCACAACGAGTAAGAAATACCGTAACATTATCCAAACATTCTCAATAATATAATCAGGCCTACGGTCGAGGTGAGGTCGAGAATGTGTTCAGCAAGTATATGCATCTTCACAATGTATTCCAGGACGAACAGATCAAGGCTCTGTGGGTCAAGCGAGGCACCCCTGGGATCCACGCACAGTACACCAATGTCGGAGTTGACACGGACTACGATAGCATTATGGCCTACCACAGCGGCCGACCGTCACCTCCCGGAAAACTTATTCTATACGAGACAACCACCCCGTTGATCGAAGTTGCAGATGATGGTGAAACTGCGAAGGGGTTTTGGTTAATGGCTGGAGTTGAAAGTGGCTTGGCTGACCCCAAGAACGTGGGGACCATGCCAGAATTTCTCTACGAGCCTGAAGATAAGAACGTTGAAGGCAAAAGAGTTTGGACTCACTGGGTCTGGTGCCACTATGCACTGGACCTTTTGAAACAGGATGGGCAGTGGAAGATCTGGCACTTGCTGCTTCCGATGTCTTGAAGTGACTCGTGCCCCATTCAGTGAGAACTGGATTACGTTTGCAAAGAAGAACCAGCTGGGCTCTGATAAGGTAAAGAATTCACTATTCGTTCATTTGTACTTGACGGGATCTGATAGCGACCAGGACCTTGCGTACTTTGGAAATGACGGCAAAGCTGTCTTTATGCCGACGCCGGATGCCGAGCCAGAAAAGGTCAGTTATGCGAATCTCGATAAGATAAGTGAACTAACCGTTCTCGTGTAATAACAGAAGGCAGACGTGTATGGTCCAGATCGAGCGCGACAGTTGGATGTCGCTCTCCCATCAGCTTATGAAACGTTTTCTGAAACACACGAATATTAACGTCAGTGCTTTGGTTACAAACCTTGTTAATGGCAGCCAATTTCCTCTTGTACAAAGATTGTGAAGTCCTTGCTGTATAATCATGCCAATAGTTAAAATAGGAATTATACTAACCCTGCCTTTTCCACAATTGCTTTGATACCCAGGCCACGACTTAATGAAAATAGCTACAGACTACATGGAAGTTTGACTCATGCGCCCTGTATGATCGCAGGTTGGGCGCATCAGAAGAACACGACATGCCTAACCTCATTAGGCAAGATAACACCCAGTCTAGCTTCGTCAGCACTGGCGGAATGCCATCGTGGCTTCACGCGGAGCCAATAGATAGCCTTGGAGCTATCTCCCCAGGCGCGCCGATCCTTCGGCTTCCAACCAAGGCCAGGCAGATTTTCAAGCCACCAGGATGGTACCGTTGAAAAAACTGAAACCTCGACAGCCCCATCTTCCCAGCTCCCAAACCTTCTCCGCTCACCGCTGAGCTCGGCCAAATCCACTGCAGCTTTCACCACCGCCCAAATGCCAGCTCAATCACGCGAGCGACCGAGATGTTCTCTGACTCTCAGCTAGAACGGCTGGCGCTGCTGGAGAGGGTCTTTTCGTCAATCAGCCTCGTAGCTGTACTGTCGATTTTCGTCACGTACGGGAGCATACCGAGGCTGCGCAATCCTCGGAATACGTTTATCGTGTTTGCTAGCATCGCGAATCTGGGCGCTAGCATTGGGACTGTTATTTCACGCGATGGATTGGCTCGGGGGGAAGATTCGGCACTTTGCAGGGCGCAAAGCTTCTTGGTACACATGCAAGTAATAACTGTGTCTTGGTGACTATTCGGCATATATCCTAATCTCAGGTGTAGTTTCATGCAGTCTGATGCGTGGTGGTCTCTCGGCATGTCGGTCAATACTTTCAGGATTGTCTTCTTTCAATCGAATCCGCACACGTTCAACAAGTGGCTTTATTCTCTGATTTGCTTCGGAGGACCATTCATATCAGGGTTCACCCTGTTTTTCATCTCGACCCCAGCGCGTGGTCCTGTCTATGGAGCAACAACTGTAAGTCGTGAATAGCCCCAAGTCTCAACGATACACTGACGACAGACCAGACATGGTGTTGGATCCGAGAATCTTGGGTCAGCATACGACTCTTCACTTCATACCTATTTGTATGGATCTGCATAGCCACTTCAATCGCTTTAAACACAGCTGTTGGCTTTCGCCTCTTTCGGGCGAGAAACGAAGCTCGAGGTATCTTGAACTCGCGCATTCAAACCACAGTAACCGACCATCAAACAGTACAGCAAACCTCCATAAAATGGCAATGCATTTCAGCTGACCAACAACAGATGACAGAAACAAATACCGACAGCGATGTGCAAGGAGCCAAAGACATACCCGGTACTGCCGTGTCTAATTCTCCGAAATTAGCATCCAAAGCCACGACCGTGGAGCCGATTTCTGCCAGTAAAAAGCAACAATCTTCGTCATCGGCCACGGGCAGCACCAAGTCCAAGTTTTGGCTCAGAGACCCTGTCAAACGGGCATACCTCTTCACAACCTTTATGTTCACGCTGAGCGTCCTCGTTACATGGGTACCGGCCAGCATTACTCGTATCCAGAGTCTACTTAACGGTGATGTTCCATACTCATACCAAGTTGCCATAGCGGCCGTCATGCCTCTGCAAGGTCTGTGGAACGCTCTGATCTTCTTTACAACTAGTCGGAATGTCCTCAGGAACGTGATAAGGGAGAAATGGGGCCAGCGGGTATCAAAGTCTACAAAGATAGACAGCAGCTTGGGAGAAAGGGAACCTACCGAGCGGCTAAGGGTCAGTGGGCAGACAGAAACAACGGATTGGGGAAGTGATGTTGAGCTCCGCCGCCTGGCAAGGTGACATTTTATTGTGATAGGTAAATAACTTGTGTGGAGTAAAAGGCCAGACTCTGTCGTGGTAAGGTGGTTCATAAGACGCCATGCCAATCGTCATTCGTCACTTGTGTTCGCAGCCTAAAGCTTAACCTTATAGTCGGCAGTCATCCCCCTTGTTGCAGCTAAATAAAATTTCAGCTCATGGTTGCCAAGATGGATCAAGTACACTCGCCTGATATAAATGAGGACCGCCTTGGAATCAGTATTGCCCAAAATGGCGACAAGGACTCAAAAGTCGAGGGTATGTCCACCAGTCTCAAGCACGAGCCACCTTCCGACCAAATCAAATCCAACCAGCATCAAGAACAAGCAGTGATCACGAGCAGCACAGAGCTGATGCTTAACTACGTACAGGGAGAATAAGCTGATCCTAAGGGGAAGTTTTGGGCTCTCCAGACTGTCAACGGGGCCGCGTTGGTCTTCGCAATTGACTCTCTGGGTGTACTCAATGTCATTGAGAAGGCTGTTGCAGAAACACAAACAGGCTGGAGATCTACCAACTTATCGACCAAGGTCATCAACGACAAGTTCTAATCCGGCGCAAAGGCTGTTCATTTCGACGTTGGACAGAGTGTTATGAATAACCATACTATAAGTTTGGCAATGGCGGTTCGTTCCGATGGGTCTGATAATTTATTTCTTTCTCTAAACAGCTCGCCTTCCTCTACTGCTCAATGGACCTCCTATCCCGACTGGAGCTCTTACCCTTGTGATGCGCAGAACAGACCAAGCTCCGTTCAAATAACAAATATTTACATTTCTGAAACGGACCAGTAACAGCAGTATATCATAGTTGATATCCTACGCAATCCCAACTCTGAACTCAAGGTTACGTCTCGCTATATTGTCGACCCTTTCTCAACAACAGGAGCTCACTGGATGCCTTATACGCTTCCCTTTGAAGTTGAGCAGGGTACTTATTAGAGCTGCTTAGGCCGGGTCCCGGGTGCCTTTGTCGATGGTATCTATACAGCTAAAGGCGTTGCTCAGATGTCATATTTGCCGCTCTTCAACTCATCGGGCAGTGTTGCTCCTATGCCAACCCGTTTGCCTCTTCCCAACAAATTATTGGCTACAGCAATCGCCTCAGCCCGATATGCAGATGGCACTACTGACTTTTATGCTGTTAGCGACTCTACTCTTTACCGATGGAGTTCTAGCCAGCAGCTGCGCGACAATACTGTAGGGACAGCTTTATTGACCAACCCATTGTTTTCTGGCACTGATACTCTGATTGCACTTATCCACGACGGCATCACAACCATCTTTGGCAAGACTTCGAGCGATGCGGTATACTACACATCATGTCAGATTAACCATCTTGCCGACCCAACACTTTGGAGTGCCCCCGTCCCTATCCTCCATGGAATTGAGCGTATCACCTCATTTATCAATCTCAGGGACGGGGGTAACATAGTCTTTGCAGCCGGGGCCAATAAGGTCGAGAAGCTGACACAAGCTACAAGTACAGAGTCCAAACTGTGGCGTGCCCAATCCATTATGCTCGAGGCAAGTCCACAGTGTAAGCCGATGTCTTTCAACTCGTACACGACTACGATCAATGTCAAAAGGCCAGATGGTCATCGCTTGACTGCATTCTTTCCACCACTCCAGTGACTGTCCCTATCGGTGTATCCGGTCATGTAATCTTGATTCAAGCGACTGACAGTATTGTTGGGTCTGTCATCAATATAAGGTTGGGTGAAGCTGAGCATGTTGTCAACCCCACGGCCAGTTCATTTAACAAACTCGCCAAACTCTCGATCAAGGAGTCTTTGAGAAATGCCCAGATTCGCACAAATACTGTTGCTGGTGGCGTGATGGAAGCTCTGGTACGGATTCATTGATTTCATCCTCGGTGCCTGACTCGGATCTTGAGGCGACAGCAACGAATATGAAGCTTTTGACCGACACTTAGAGAGTGAACCGAGCTCGGACACGTCAATTTTCACTCGGTATGACAGCTCCTGTCACTTCAAGAATGGTAGTATCCCAAGGTAGTCTAGTCTCCGGGTTCGGTGACTCCATTGCCATAGCAATTGGAGACTTGTTCAACTGGCTTAAGACGGGCGTTGAAAAGGAAGTGGACTTTGTCAAGAATGCTGCCACTGGACTCTGGGACTTCATCGTCAAAATTGGTAACGACATTTATCGTGCTGTTCTTGATACGATCGACGCTGTCGTGGGGGCTGTTGAATGGGTCTTTGACAAGATTAAGACGGGGGTCAGCAAGGTTCTTCGATATCTTGAGTTCTTGTTTGACTGGGACGATATCCGCCGCACCAAACAAGTGGCACACAAGTTGGTCAAATACTGTCTGGTTGACATGGTATCTGGCATCCGAACCGCCAAAGCAGAGTTGGGCGAGTGTATAGGCGAGGCCCAGAAAGCAGTTACTGAATGGTCCGGTATCAAAGACTGGTCAGGACTAGGCGATGCAGCTTCGAAACCGCCATCGGGACATGAAGTCGATACTACCAAAACCGAAACTTTTGGCTCGCAAATGATTGTGAGACACTTGAAGAACCAGGCTGATAATATCACGATACAAGGTTCAATGCCAGAACCGAGTCAGGAGCAGGGTTTAGTGGATGACATGATCGCAGCGTTGGAGGCAGAAGGGATGGTCTTCCTAAAAGCCTTTGGACAGCTTCAAGACCTCGCAAAAGATTTCTCGACTCTGAGTCTCGCAGGTATGCTTAAAAGACTCGTTGGAATTCTCGGTGAAGGTGTTCTTGGAACAACCAAGGTGGTCATGGACGCTATACTGGATGTCTTACATAAACTTGCTGGGACTGTTGTCGAAATGCTCGACACCAAAATCCACATTCCCATCATATCCGACATACTTAATCTGATCGGAATCCCAGATATTTCCTTCCTTGATCTATTGCTTTGGGTCGGTGCAGCAGGCATCACAATGGTATACAAGATTGGCACAGGCGAAACTCCATTCCCAGACAATGCCACGACCCTTGCATTAATTAAGGCCTCAGATTGGGCCTCATTCTCAGCAGTCGTCAAGCAGCCGCCTCGGCTATTATCCGATGAGGTAGACGGCGGTACTTCTCACCTGAGTGTATCGCGTGAGACAGGGCGTATCATCTATATCGTGGGCCACCGCATTGCTGGTTATATCCTCACGGCAGGAATATGGGTCTTCTTACCCGAAGCTATAGATCCTGACCCTAAGAACTCACGTCGTATACCCTCAGCTATACTTGGTGCAGTGGGTTCTGTTGCAGTTGTTGCCGCAGATCTCCTGTTTGGAACAGTGCCTATTGAGAGCCCATTCATTTCTACCCTTCGCAATCACCGTTGTTGTTACTGTTGTTTTAAAGTCTGTATTCTCTAGCCCGGCTCAGAGGTTCTTTGACAGGTACCAATCTCTGAATGCCCTTACAGCTGCCGACCCTAGAAAGATCGGGGCCATATTCGACATGGCTGTTGTGGCACCTGCCGCCTTCTGTATATTCTATCACTTCCAGGAGTTCAGTGAGAAGCCTGAAAGTAGAGATAGGACACTCGTCATCATGGAGGAGTCATCTCGTTTGTTGACTTGCTTTGCGCGGGTGTTTTATACCGTTGCTGTCAACACGCCTGACCCATACACTAAGGGTGGAGCAGCCGGCTCTATGTCAGCATGTCACGTTTTCTCTGTTACTTTGGAGTCCATTTGCTCTGTAATGATGTGGGATTGAACGGGTTTGGTCTTGAGAACAGAGACCGCCTTGCTTTGGATGTTGCCTTGTGAGCTACCGAGCATGAAGAACATTCGCCAATTTACTCTGTCCATATCTAGCCCTGGTGGTGATGCTAATTGATTTCATTCTGAGTGTTTCCCATAGAATGCCTTCCCTTGGTGCCAAGTTACGGGCAGAATCCAGCTTCTCTAAGAACAACAATGACAATGCTGACTTCATGTCAAGCTGCACTAAGTCCCCACTGCTGGTTTAGGCTCTCAACCATAAGTCTCAACTGTAAATAAGTGTCAATGGCTCATTCTTTGCGACGGTCGTGACTCGTGAGTACCAAGCGTTCATGGCTTGACGTCCAGTTGTTCTGAGACTTCGAGATTGACATACCGGCCAACACGTCTCTGAGCCCTGGTTCTATGTAATCTTTTCACTTACATATTGATAAGAGCAGTATGGCTGCCTGAGAGGTGAATTTGGACCTTCCTTATCCAGTATGGAATGTTTTCGGCCTCTGCTGCCTAAATCATGACAGGTCCGCCCAGTTCTAGAAATGATCGACGATGTTGTTAAGCTCGGTGAGGGCCTGAGATACTCCTTCACCAGAGAACTGCATACGAACCTTCAACTCTAACGACTCTTGCCATTCTGAAACGAGAAGAGATCCTGAACGGAATTTGTGAGCGCATCGAGGATGTTTCATCCACTATCAAGCAGTTGCCTGCAGGCACGGTTCCCAGCCAGATATAATCTGTCATTGGATAGACTGCCAAGGAAGCTGAAGAGGCAAAGAAGCAGGAAATCGTGGCTGCTGTCGAGTACAAACCCATCAACCGGTCCTCGCTGGTAAGTCCATACGTGGAGAGCCTCTATTATGTTGGCAATTCATTACGGACGCAAGGCCAAGGCTGAGAGGTCTTCGCGAGCGTGAAGCTTCTGTACAAGACTGACACGTATTATGATGGTGCAAGATCATCCTTGGTCTTTGGTAGTATGCCTATTTGCGGAGATGTGTTTGGAGGTAGCCTGTTAAGTTTTTTTCCTTAAGTATTGAGGGAATAGTACTAGTCTGATATATTACTCTTGTTTTTGTGTTTTAAGGACATACTGTGCCTTTTTTTAGTGTTCTCAGCACTACCTTTCTATTATGTTACTTTTGATCTTTATTTCGTGTAATACGTTCCATGGCACGAACTTTAGCAGTGCTATTCGTCGATACTCGACAAGTTTACCACTTCTGTTTAGTTCCATTCGCCTTGGTCTCTCATACGCCCAAGCATACATACCGCCCAACATAATGTCCGTTGGGGCTCAGCTTCACAGAAAAGACTGGATACCGTCTAGTGCAATTCACCCTAAATGCTGCCTGAAACCTGCTTCGGGAGCTTCCTCACTCAGCAATTGCCTTTTCTACTTCGACTGCCCGTAAAGAAAAAACTCCGCCCGTTTCAGAATAGATCTACAATCCTGTCTGCCTCGGGGAGTTCAACTTCTTAAGGTTGACAGGAGATTACAGGGGTAATGGTTCAAGTTCTGTTTTTGATTGGCTCGCAAAGGTTGCTTCCGAAAAGGTTCAACTAAAGCTAAGATATTTCCAGGTTAATTAAGCGAGGGCTGAAGCAGTACAACGATCCCTTCTCCTGCCTTATGCATGCCCTCATCATTAATCCATGTCCATAAACTGAAGTACCATTTTGACTTCTCGTGAAGCCTCAAGCGGTTGTTTCACGTTGCATGCAAAGAACAGAAGATTCTCGGGGTGTTATATTATCCCGATTGACCCTCCCGAGTTTTCCGTCTGGGATGGGGGAAACAGCTTCGGATTGGTCGAGCATCACGACGGATCTAGAGAGTATAGGGTGAGATCGTCCACAGTTGCAGGTAGTTGAAGAATGTCACAATCATTCGCACAACAAATGGGTCTCAATACTACTTTAGAGATCGTAAGAAGAATTCCGCATGCGGAATCAAAAGAGTTTATATTGGAGTCATGAACTATATAAGGTGGAAGAGTTTCTCACCGTATTGCGTATGTACAAGTCTTCCATCAATCCTCAGCTTCCGAACTCCACCTATCATCAACCGACCTGTTACTCCAGTTTCAATTCATTGACACAACTATGGCTCGACTTCCGCCTCTTGATAAGCTGCCTCTTGCGGCACGCAAGAACCGTAAGTCAACAATGGTTCATAGTCCGGGATGAATGGCAGAACAAACTGGCAGACTTCGAAGAGTAGCTCTCGAAAGCCATGGGTGTTGATTGGAAGATTGACATTGACGCTCTTGCTGTCGTGCCTTATGGCGCAGAAGGCCCTTGGGCCCGTGAGAGCCCAGGCTCGATGATTGCAAAGTAAGACGATACTCACTCCCTACAGCCAGATACACCCGCTCACAAAATCAGCTATGTCGAGGAGGCCGTCAAGGAACTCGAAAGAAACCCCAAGTACCACGATGAAATCAATAAGCTGGCCTCGGCTCATGTCCTCACTATGGACGTGGATGAGGAAGAAACGTTTGATGCATGCGGAGCCAAGTTCACAAGCGATGGGAAGCTTGCTATAGTCTTCGGCGCCGATAGACTCGGTTCCAACACTGGCGATGCCTTTTGGCACAAGAACCTGGAGAAGGGTATCAGTCTGGCCCCTTCTACGGATGCGCTGAGCTTTTATGCCCGCAAAGGTATCCGTGAAGACTACGAGCCGGACATTGCGGACGTACAGTCTGAACTCAAGGATATTATCAAGAAGGATCTTACCCTAGTTCCCAACTTTGAGGAGACCTACAAGAAGCTGAAGCTGACCAAGGAGGGCACCGACTTTGACCAATACCTTGGCGCCTTTATACTCAACTATTTCCGTGGCCTGGTCAGTACGCTGAAGTGGCGCAAGTTTGACAGCGATGATATGCTGCAGGAGGCGCTGAGTGAGGCTTTGGAGAAAGGAGAAGTGCATTTCCGTATCCTTGACAAAGTTGAGGGTAGTAGTGGAGAGGCAGCTATTGAAGATGGCATACTCTACTTACAGGTGAGTGACTTTGTCCTTCAACGTCATCAATTCGCGCTAATACCCGGCAGACCTCACCCGACAAGTGGGGATCAAACATTGACGATATCTCCAACAACATTATGGATCTGCTCTAAGGGGTCGAGGCACAAAGTTCTGCAGTTTATTGTGGCAACTTGTTTGTGCGAAACTTGCCCAGGCCTCGGGCAGCAAGAAAACATAACACTTTAGAAGAGGATAGTAAAATAAACTTAGTAAAGAGTGCCCTAAGCTTAGGCTAAAGCTACCAAAGTCTTTTTGTCCTTTAGGATCAAGGTCCTGGGTTTTCTTTCCTCCCCTAGCCAGGCTCTCACCATTACGTAGATATGGTGGCGACCGAGCCTTTTAATGGATGACGATATGTTTCAATCGATATCTACGATATGGGCTCGATCGAAAAATCCGGGCCAATTGCGAGACTGTGATTGTGTATTAATAGAGGCTGTTCAGCTGCTGAAGATTTTGCTGTCTGTTTGTTTAAAGAAATGTCACTAGCTGGTGAACTATTGCTGAGACTATTGGCGTTGGTCGCGGTCTCATCTTTCAAAACGGCAAATTGTGGGTACCCCCTGATGCTAGTCAGGTCAGCCGTTGAACTTGCCTCTAGTCTTGTGTAGATGGCGATTCATCTCATTTCGGATTTCCCGGAGTCGCTAATCGACGATGGAAATCTCTATCTGTAAGGCTGTGTGTAAAGAATCTCTATAAGAATGTCTCAGTTCAGCTGAGGATGTCTCACAGAAACATCAAGCATTCAGGTCTCGAGCAACAGCAACATATCAGACGCCGTCATGCATATTCCCTCTCTTTTCTCTTCAGCTCTGCTGTTTTCAACCGCCCTCGCAGTGCCCCAGCCTGATTAGTCTGTAAAAAGCGCGGCCAATCATGGCAAGGTTGCCAAGTATCAGAAACAATGTCCTTTCAGCATTCCTCATGTCAAACCCCATAACCAGCGATATGAGCACACGATTAACTTCCCCAAGGGTTGCGAAAGTGGTAAATTTATCAACTGGAAGACGTACAAGGCCAATGGTGTCAATCTAGGAGCTTGGCTTGCCAAGGAAAAGACCCATGATCCCGTCTGGTGGAATTCGCTTGGTACCAAAGCCGCTGCTACTATCGATGAATGGGGCTTGTGCCAGGCTCTTGGAAAGCAATGTGGCCCAATTTTGGAGAAGCGCTACGAATCTTTCCTCAATACCTCTACCATCAATACCCTTCGCATCACTACCACCTACGCCGCCTGGGTCAAGGTCCCTGGCTCCGCTTTCTACCATGGCAGACAACAGGACCATCTACGAAAGATTACTCAATATGCTATTGAACGATACAACATGCATATCATCATCGGTCTTCACTCCCTACCCGGCGGTGTGAACAACCTCGACATTGGTGAAGCTTTCGGGCATGACGGTTGGTTCTATAATTCTACCAATCTGGCCTGGAGTTTCAAGGCTGTTGACAAGGTTCTCGACTTTGTCAAAACCAGCGGCCATAAGAATGCCTTCACGATCGCTCCCCTCAACGAGGTCAGCGATAACTTGGCTGGTTTCGGCTCAGCAGCTGGTCTATCCGACAAAGCGACCAACTGGGTTCTCACATACATGAATGGGGTTTTCCAGCGCGTCGAAGCCGTCGACAAGCGTATCCCCGTGATGCTCCAAGACAACTTCAAGGGTGCCGCCTTCTGGTCCCCGCTGTTTGACAAGAAGCGCAACCTTGTCATCGACTCTCACGTCTATTACTTTGCCGCATCGGGTACCTACTCACAGTATGTCGCACCTGCTGTGTGCGGACAAGCAAAGTACCTGGCTGAGGAGACCAAGTTCCCTGTGTTTGTCGGTGAATGGTCTTTGCAGACTATATACAACAACACCCTATCGGTGCCTAGCCGCAAAACCATCTTCGATACTCAGCGCTATGCCTGGCAGAAGTATGTGGCTGGTGGTGCTTTCTGGACAGCTGTGTCTTACTCCACTACGCCTGTGGATGGACAAGGTATCCAGAGGGATTACTGGAGTTATGTTGACCTGATCAGGGCTGGCGTTATTACTAAGGCTACAACTAAGAGCTATTGCTAAAAGGTTTTTGTGTTAATCAGGGGGGATTCTGGTTGTTTACTAACTCATACATTTCCTGTAAATGCTTTTTCTTATCTTATACTTATCTACTATTATTTCGACTAAATTAGCCTGGGTTAAATATTTTATATAATGGTCTTACTACTGTGATCTGTCACGTATATATATGAAGCAGTCAGGGCACTGGATAGCTATTCAATGAGTGTTAAAGTCTTGACTCAACTTCTTACATTCTCTCTGTCGACTCTCCATTAAACTGCCTTAAGATACTTGTGTCTGCGTGCTCTATTTGTACGTGCACCCTCGGCGCCAGCTCAATTATTGTCCGCCCTAAGAAGACAGAGCTTTCTCGGCTTGTGGTCCTTCGGCTAGTTTGTTATTTAACTGTAGATTACGGAGTAGAGGCTCGGATATGACGGTTCGTAGACTGTTTCGTCTAAATTGAATGTTCGGTAATGAACGGGGATAAGAAGTGTGGGGATCGCCTTAGTATGGTTACGTGATGTGGAAAAGGGTTACATGGCGTTATCTGCAAGTTATCAACCGTCCAGTGGTGGAAATATTAACCCATTGTCTTATGACCACGGGAAGTGGGATTTGTCGGATATGTGTGCCGTTGTGATCAGCACGAGAGACTTACCCGACACTTGAAGTCGGCGCTGATTGAGATTTTAAACGTGTCTGGATGAGTCGGACTCGATAAACACTTAATTGCTGCTAGAATACGCACTAGAACATTAACATACAGCTAGCTGAAAACACTACTGCCTTTTTCAAATAGCAAACAAACTATTGAACTTTAGATAAAGCTGTGTTTAAGTCTAGATGCTCTTACTATCTCCTTAGTCCCTTTGACAGGTTAAGTGGTCCCTGACTGGCTCGGAGATGTCTAACTAATTATGCACCAATAACCGAAGGCACTAACTTAACGACTCCAGCCTAACATTGTAAGCTTGTCACTTAGCTCACTCCTGAGCAATCTTCTCTGTATCTAACGGATAGAAATGTTCGAGAATGGAAATGCGGAGCTGGCATGTTCCGGTCTAGCCTTGCTTGAGGTCCTGTACCGAAGCTAGTAATGGAGGGTCTAAACCGCGATCATGGAACTATCTACCTGCCAACAGGTTTACTAGTTTTAGCCCGGTAGTGGTTGTAAGCCACATGCCGTGATCCGTCATCCATGTCAGACGGGACATATAAAAGCTACTCAATTTCCAGAGCAATGAAATGTTTAGCCACGATTTCCCAGTCACTATTGCTTCATTGATATAACACGATGAGACTTGAAATCCTTTTTGCACCCGCACTTGCGGCTTTTGTTCGAGCTGCTGGAGTCACTGGCGCTGCTGAAGGCTTTGCCAAAGGTGTCACTGGTGGTGGCTCAGCCGCTGTTGTCACCCCTACGACAACTGCCCAGCTCGTGTCTTATCTCGGTGACTCCTCTGCCCGAGTCATCATTTTAGACCGAACCTTTGACTTCACTGGAACTGAAGGCACGACTAGTGCGACTGGCTGCGCTCCCTATGGCACGGCTTCTGCCTGTCAGCTTGCCATCAACAAGGATGACTGGTGCACCAATTACCAGCCCAACGCACCCAAGGTCAGTGCCAAGTTAAATTTCTGTGGAGTTCGAGGCCATTCTAACCTCTCAACTCTATCACAGGTCAGCGTAAAGTATGACAATGCTGCGTTGAACCCCATTCTTGTTGGGTCAAACAAGAGTCTCGTCGGTGTAGGAAGCAAGGGCATTATCAAGGGCAAGGGCCTTTACATTGCAAAGGGTGCCAAGAACGTCATCATCCAAAACATTCAGATTACCAACCTCAACCCTCAGTACGTCTGGGGAGGCGATGCTATTGCCCTTGATAACACGGATCTTGTTTGGATTGACCATGTTACTACTTCGCTTATCGGCCGGCAACACATTGTTCTTGGCAACAACCCAAGTAATCGAGTGACTATCTCGAACCACAAGCTCGACGGTGCTACCTCTTGGTCAGCCACGTGCAACGGCTACCACTACTGGGGCTTTTACTTCACAGGCTCTGCTGATGTACGTCCCGCTCTCATCTCTACTTTGACAAGATGATTCTCTTATGCCTGTTTGACGATTTACTAATCTGATTAGACTGTTACCTTCAAGAACAACTACATTTACAAGACCTCCGGCCGTGCCCCCAAGGTCGGCGGAAACACCCTTCTCCACGCCGTCAACAACTACTGGTACGATAACGCCGGACACGCCTTCGAAATCGGTGCTGGCGGTCAGGTCGTCGCCGAAGGCAACATCTTCCAGAATGTAGCTACACCACTCGAGGCGTCGAGCTTTGCTGGTAAGCTCTTCTCGAGCCCCAGCACCTCCGCCAACGCCGTCTGCTCTTCCTACCTCGGCCACGTATGCCAAGTCAACGGCTTTGGAAGCTCTGGCACTCTCTCAGGCAGCGACACTGACTTCCTGGTCAACTTTAGCGGCAAGAACGTTGCTTCCGCTGCGGCTTACTCCAGTATCACCGGTCTCTCGTCCAGCGCGGGCTTTGGTACCATTTAGGCTCATGGAAGATTAGGAGGGTCAAGGAATCGAGAGGATGCTTTGACAAACCGGAGAAGTGATTCGTGTGTACATAGTTGTTAAGAAATATCAGTTGGATGTCATGGTTTGCGGTTGTTGATCACTCGCTACTAACCATTGAGACAATAGAGAATTTGTTATTTTTATCTTGAAACATTGAGAGGCCTTGTCCACCGTCGAGCTCCAGATTTGTAACATTCCGTGCCGAGAATTGCAGAGTAATAAATTAACTCCATCTTTAGTTATAGTCCTAAAATTCAGATATCGCAAGCGCTGCCATAACTGCCACTGTCAAGAGCAGCATAGCACAACTGCGCCCATTCATCCTGTTTGCTGAGTTTTCTTTAGTATCATCTCCTCCACTTGTTTTAGTAAAGTCCGGTTCCTTATGAATAAGCGCCACTGCCGGAACCTTTGTCACAACAAGGTTGTCTCCAAGCCACTCTGCCGTCTCCATATTCCGGGTGACTGTTGCTAGAGGAGGAGGTTCTGTATAGGATAAAATCTCATGTCCGCTTCTCGTGCGTGTCACGGGTACCGCGGTTGACGCGAATTGGAACCCGCATATCTCCGAGTATCCATACGTAGACAATGGACCAAGCACTGAGTAACAATTGCCATTGAAGTTGAGTGTGTAGTTCCTGGATGCATTAGTGATATGTCAGCATCGAAGAAATTGGGGAGCTTACCTTGGGCAACATACCGCCAGTGTCTCAGAAGGTTCCAAGACCTGTACCCAAACGCTTGCCGGGTCCTGTCGGAATGGCCGACCTGGCTCCCATCTCTCAGGTACCATCGTTGATTCCGTCCTGGTGAGTTGCCCAGACATCTGTCCAATGCTTCCAGTTCCCCTCACGTATTTCCCGGCCGTCGTCCAGTCGGAAGGGCAGTATAGGCCCGGAGAGTAGTAATGGTAAAAGCCAAGGTCGAAGGTCTTGGCATATGTTGCTGTGATCAGATGATCGTATTGATCTCCGGATGGTATGCATTTCCCAATCAGTTGCATTTTGCAGGTAGGGTTAGCCCAGAGATATTCGGGGTGGTCGCTATCATAAGCAAAGTAAATGCGGTCTGTTTCAGTGGCACATGATGCTGGCGCCGTATAGGTTGTTGTCAATGGCCCAAAGTTAGTTATCCTCGCCGTACTGATCCTTGTTACAGTGGGCATCTTGTTGACAGGCTCCGAAGTTTTTTAGTAGAAAGAGTTTGGCAGTATAGTGGAATAAGGCCTGATTGTTTATATTGCCAGTATCAGATGTGATCAACACTGGCACAGTGATCAGTTCAGTACGGATATCGGCTTTCAAGATTACGATGCAATTTACAATGCAAAGCGATGCATTGGGTGTCCTACCCTGTTTTATATGTCCAATTAGGTATTTTCTCATGGCCAAGACGGTGGCTGGAAGCAAAAGGACGTCTGCTACCTGCTGCATTTGGCCTAGGTTGGTGTGGCACAGTTGAAGGACAGTACGCTACGCCGCTAAAATCAGGTTTTAGAGCCGGGAATGCCATCCATGTGATCAATTTCCTCCAGCCATATACATACAAGGATTAAGCTTAAACAGCTGGCAGTGGTTAGGTCAGTGGCGTCGATGACATGTAGGAACTAAACAATTAGATGTAAGGTAATAAATTCACAGTCTTTCGTTGATAGAAGTAATACCATAAGAGCTTGGTTTCTTAGATTAGTTATTAGTAACTATACACATAATTACCAACGCGGTCTTGAACCTTTCGTTTCGAACAGACATCTCCAGGCTATCCAAGTTATTTACGTTTAATAGGATCGCAAGTCTGATCAGTGAGTTTTTGCCAGAGATTTTACTAAAGGCCTAGTAAATTTTTACTATTAGGCCACCAAGAGGATTAAGGTGAAATCAGAAGCTGTTGATGGCTAGATAAGTGTATCACGCATACTTGCCTTTTACAGTTTAATCTGGAAGTTGCATCTAGTGTAATTAAGGTACTGTAGATAAGAGAGTATATTTATCCAGCCAGACTACAGTATCTAATTTCTTTGTATATTTTAATTTCTATTAAGAGGATTCCTCCTGGGCTTATTATCAGAAATTAGGACTTTTATAAGTGCTGTTGAAGCGACAAAGACATTATGCGGGCAGTTGGTATAGTGCTTCAGCCCATGTTTCGAGGATTATGCTCAGTATAGACCCGACGCGTGATGCTCACATCACGCGCTTTACCATCTTACGGATGTAATCTTTATTGTCTATATTATGATTTTAAGGACCATGGCAAACACAGTCGAAATATTGGTATTCTAACTACTATAGGCTTCTCTTGATTCTTCATTCCTTGCTCATAAAAGCAGCATCTCATCAGCGATCTGGCACCACATTGTCGGAATACATGTCAGAAATGCGTCCACCAATGTTAAAAATGCTAGAGGGGCGGAAGTCATTACCACTCCGGGCATTGTGGTACGTTATTGGCATAATCAGCAGGGCGAGAATTCTGGAGAGGAGCGTCCTTGTCTGTAATTAATTACCAACATGCGACAGAAATCACTTCCGTTCCCGCGCACTTCAATGCTAGTCATCTCGGACCATTGAGGTTTGTTCGTATTATATAGTAAAGACGAATCGCTGTTGTTTCTATCCGCGCACCGAAAGATTCCAATTCGCCTATTTAGGTCCACTCCTCCGAAACAACAAGTCATGGTTGTCTAGTTTATTTCGGATATTATCCCCACCGACCCTCGTCATGCATTGATCAACGAACTGGGTGTCGATCTTCGGGCATTTGTCCGCCAATTACAATGGACGTCTGTTTGCTATTTTATGTTTTGCATTGATATATAACATCTCGACATGCCAAGCAAACTAGCCACCAATTGATCTAATCAGTTAAACAGGATACTCTCAAAATGCCATTTTCCAACCAGATCCTTTCCATCCTCGCGGCCATCGCCGTCTCCACTGCCAACGCCGCTATGGGCCCTGCCTTCAGCACAGGTCCTGTTAGCTCTGGCTCTTGGATCCGTGAGGCCACTTCAACTCTTGTTCTTCCTGATGTCCCTGAGGGTTCTACCGGTGTTGCCTCTCTTTGGGTTGGAATGAGCACCGACAAGGGCGACTTGATCCAGTCTATTGCAGACAACTGGCAGTCCGACGAGTGTAGCATCTTTGCTTACACCCTCACCAAGACTGGAGACAACTCTCAGCTGCCTGTACAAGACGAGCACCAGACTCCCGCCAAGAAGGGTGATCGTGTCACCATGCACTGTAAGAGACGTTTGACTCTCAGGCAGAATGGCTGAACTGACTGCATCCAACAGACAAATATGATGCTTCAACTGAGGAGTACGTCCAGTACGTCTCCATCAACGGGCAGCAGGTCTCTACCCTCTCTACCTCCAAGGGCCACGAGGCCATGGGCTTCGGCAGCTCCGTTAAGTGCGGCGCCTCGGATTGTGGAACCATTGGTGCTCATCGTAAGTCGCGAAAGCAACCCGAGGATGATTACGTACTAATAATTCATTTAGAGTGGGTTGACACCAAGATTATTCTTGACACTGCCGATCCGAACTACATCCAGACCTTCGGAAAGGGCGAGGGCGTTACTGGTGGTGAGATGACGACTGGCGATGGTGGCAAGACCTGGGATATCAGCGATGTCAACATTCCATCTTTTGCATTTTAAGTGGTTTAATTTTATTATGTATATATGTGGATAGTTATTAACAGTTATGATATCGACGGTACACGATATTACATCGTGTACGCATACTCGTATAATATTAGCCTGGACTCTTGGAGCCATGTACATCTAAGCGCCAGTAGCTAATAATAACTTCACTTATGTGTGATAAAGCGCTAGCTTCTGAGAAATGACGTGATGATTGGTGAGTCGTTGTTATGTAGGAATGCATGGCTTTCGCTTCCACTAGAACAATTGGTTGGTGCATTTCCTGCAACATCAGCCGCACAAGGCTGGCGCTTACGCAGCACAAACTAAGCAAAGAAACAACTCAGCTTCTTTGGTACAACTTGCAATGCTCCATGAAGAATTGTAGACGTTAACAAACCTCGCAATTCGTGATACACTCATCATGGTACGTCTACTTCCAGGTGCGATGCTCTAATAGTAATGCGGTGCCAATAGCCTCTCCGACAATTGTACCCGGACCCAAAAGGGACCGAGACCCATGCCTCTCCTACCGTGATAGAGTAAGCAAATAACCAACCCGTATCAGCCAAACTAACTTTATCAGTATAATTGCTGTCCCTGGCCTTGGTCCTCCAGTGAAAGGTGAGGTTAAACACGCATTTGACACATGGAGAACTCCATCGGATCAGAAGGGACGACTTTGGCTGCAGCATGATCTTCCAAATCATATTCCCGATTCCCGGATCTTTTTGTATCAGTACTACACGACTGCTACATATTGCCAAGGCCTAGATGACTTTCGCAGCAAGGCGGACAATCTGCTTGAAGCCATCAACATTGAGAGAAGAGATTGTTCTGACAGACCAATTCTGCTGCTTGGTCATAGCATGGGGGGCTTGTTGATCAAACAAGCACTGATTAATGCCCACAGTAACGCAGGCTACAGTGCCATCAAAGATGATACCACCGGCATAGTCTTTTTTGCAACACCGCATGAGTTCCTCACTCAGAAACTCGGCGAAATTGGTACAGCCATCGCCATAGAACTGGGGCATGGCATCCAAGACGATTTAGCTAGGACGTTGCAGGCCGGTAGCATCTTTTCCGAGCTCGAATCATGGAAGCACCAGGCTCTCCAGTATGATACTGTCTCCTTCTGGGGGTCATCCGATACCGTAGGTTACCTATACTCGACCTCACAACATATGCTTACCTCCTCTTATTTCAGATAGTCACTCGCAATAACGTTAGTCTTGGATTGCCTGTCGATGTTGCGAAGATTGTCGAGCTAGACGCCAACCACAGAGGGATCTGCAAGTTTAGCAACTCCAAGAAAGACCAGTACAACTTCAAGATCGTGGTTGAGAACATTAAACGTCTCTGCGAATTAGCGATCGAGAATACGAAGTCGCAAGGTGTTTGGGATCCGGATACTTGAAGTGTTGAGACACCCCGTACTTCAGAAACTGACGGCCAGACCGAACGCCATGACATGTTGGAGGAGATCCAACGTGTCGCATTGAGTATGAGCAATGAGACGGAGTGAGTATTGGAATCTGATTTAACCGTTAAGCTATCGGCTGACGAAGGCTTATAGGCAGCTGATCATGACACCGAGTCAAGAGAGCCAACTCCAAGATGATGAAGTAGTTGTTCAAGAATCTCTGAAGTCGACTGCCGGCCATTCTACTACTAAAGACGTACCAGTTCTTGCAAGCTCAACTGTGCAGGACCTCCACATCGCAGACGTTCTGGCAGTAGAGTCTCAAAACAAGCTTTATTCTCAAATGCCCTTTGAGTTGCTTATTTTGTAAGTTACGGCCACCGTGCTCACCATTCACGCTATCTAACTGTCCTATCCCGGAAGACAAGAGCCTATATTACAAGGTATCCGATATCTCAACTATCAGAAACCCACTATTGTGCAAGAAGCAGTACTCTCTGCCCTGACCCTGTGCCCTCCTCGGAACGTAATCGCCAGCTATTCCCCGGGAACTGGCAGAACCACAGCACTAGCAATTGCTCTCTTATCGCGCATTGACTACCATTCGGCCACTCAGCCCCAAGCGTTGGTAATGGTAGCGACTCAATTTCTGGTACGCCAGACGGAGAATTACATCAAAGAAGTAGGCAGATTCTGCGAGGGTCTTGTTGTAAAGACTATCACTGCGTCGAGCAGGCCAACCGCAATGCTTGAGGCAAATGTGATCATTGCTACACCTGGCACGCTTCTGAACTGCATTCTTCGCCGCTTGGTGGACATGTCTCAGGTGAGGTACCTTCTTATGGATGATGTCGATCATGTCGTGGACCTTCAAGGATTAAGTCAGGAATGCCTTAGAGTCGCGGCAGTCGCCAGAAAGTCGCCGGAAACTGTCCAACTTCTGCTCTTTTCCGATACATCAACGCGAGCCTCGGAGTTTTTAAATGTTATGCTTATGTCTAATACTTTGGAGAGGCATGAGTTGAAGGGCGTCGAGCTGAATGCCAACAAGATCGCTCACCTCGTCTTCAGATGTAGCGCCGAGGAGCAGAAGCTTGAGATTATTTGCAAGCTTCCTGGTGTCGTGACGACGAGTGTGCTGATCATATTTGTCCAGGTACGTGATATAACCCTGCTTCTAAAGGTGTGAAATTAACTCATCGTCCTGCAGACGAAGGCTTCTGCTTCGCATATACATCTTGCACTTGCAGCTGAAGGCCACGCCGTAGCGAATTTGTTCGAAGCAGACTACAGCGATGATATGGAAGCGCTATTGAAGAGGTTTCACAGTGGAGAGTTCAAGGTCCTTATCACAAAAGATTACAAAACCCGGGGCCTTGATCTTCTCTCTAGCTCCATGGTCATCAACTACGATATCCCGGATGCCGACGCCTGCCGGTACCTTCGGCAAGTCAGTCGTGCAGGCAAAGCTGGTCGCTCTGGATTCGCGGTGAATCTGGTAAGCAACGATAAGGAGTTTGAGTCTCTTCAGTCTGTTGCAACATCTCAGTGCCTCAATCTCCACGAGCTTAGATCGAACGACTGGGATGCAGTTGAGCGTTACGTGAGAAACTGCGCTAGATCCCGATCATTCCGATCATGCACGTTTCTCTACGCTTCAGATAATGGATACAACTCGATCTGCTATAATTTCTGATAGTGGTTATCTACAGATTGTGAGGAACCATGCTTACAACAGATAGTTGATTCTTCAAAGAGATGAGTACATCGCTCTAGCGTGACCCATTTTGGTACTGGCCTATCAACGCTGTGTGACCAGCAGCCAAGGTCTAAAATTACTGAGCTATTGATTCACTTCTGCATCTGTGATTGGCTGCATCGGAAATTTGCTGCCATTGGAGAACCGCCAAGTGAATGCACAGCCTCACGTGAATCAGGTCTTGCTGACGCGCGAGGCCTCACAAATTCTCCTTATCTAGATTCTCTCTAAAACTCATGAAGCCCAGGTCTCTTGGCAATTTTTCACTCTCGCTTGCAAGTGACTAACCAATTCCGGAGTTATGGGCGGCTCGGACGAAGAGAAGGAAGAGGAGAAAGAGCGCAAGAGGGATATAGTGGGAGACTTTCTGTATGCGTCATTTATTCGTCAGCAGCACCTCGATCTGCTCCGCGATCCTTCCCCGCTAGACCCTAGCCCGAGCGCTGACGTTTTCTCTTATAGGAAGAAGAATTTGAACAAAGGCGAAATAGCATTGAAGCATGCAGTGGGTCTCGGCAGTCAGCCAAATGTCGTCCCTGTAACTGAGCCTGTCGTCGACGGACCACGTCGGCCTGTGGAGGTTGGATGGCATCCTGTCGGCGGATTTGCCGGAAAGTGGTTTGCGGAAGAGACGGGACTGGGAAAGATGATCACGGAGAAGATCAACAAGTATCCTGATCCGACACAGCATTGGGCTGTACTTGTTGGCGACTATGCTCATCAGCTATGGATGGTGAGTCTGAGCAGCAGTCACTTGGGGCGACATCGAGGCTCATGCAGAACAGGACGAGAACTTTGATGTGATTTACACGAATGCAAAGATTGAGCGAGACGAGTGGCGGACATTCCCGGTGGGAGAGACGCGCTTCAATGACGATGCATTAAGGCGAGCTGGTGAGTATAGGTCTCTTGTTCGACCTCAGCCAGCGCTCTGGGCATGACATGCTGATACTACGACAATAGGCGAGTCAGTGATCCAGAGTATTAGAGAGAGGCAGCCTACTTACAACCTCATAACCAACAATTGCCAGACGTACGTCCTGCAGCTCCTCGACGCCATCAAGGTAGGCGTGAATAAAGAGTTCGGCACTACTCTGGCTGTCTACGAGAGAGTTTTTGGACCAGGCAAGATAAAGGATCTCTTCGAAGGCGAAGAGAAACCAGAGGATCAGCAACAGCACCAGATTGAACAAGGAGGAGAACCTGGAGTAGAGCCAGGAACGCAGCAGCCAATAATGCATCCAGGCAGATCGGATACAGTCAACCTGGCGCAAGATGTCATGAACCAGAATACCAATCAACTAGATACCGAAAGGGAGATGGAGAGGCATGAGGACGAGAAGGAAGTCAAGGAGAAGAAGAAGAAGGGATTTTTCTCGCGGTTTAAGCGAAGTAATAGTTAGTTATAGATATACCTTAGGTGAATTAACAAGAATCAACATTCTTATATATGACTTTGGAGGATAATCTAGTAGTATTTTCTCTTATCATCAGGGGATTTATGTAGAAGCTGAGAACTTATATCAGCAGATAGAACTTAGCTATAGCTATTAAACATTCCACAATTTCCATTAATCAGAAACATCCCCGTATCCGCTGCAATTGTTTGACCGGATACGGTCAGGGTAGCCTGGCCAGTATAATCGCCGAAGGCGCAGGTAGCATGGGTCGATACAATGAGTAGGCATTTCCGCCCGGCCTGGCTTCTGATATCGAACTCTGACATAGCGCAAAGTGGTAGTGCAGCACACGCATTACAGCAATCCTGTGCAGTAGCAGCGGAACCACTAAAAGCTTGGTAGTATCCCTGAGCATAGGGCACCAAGGCTGCTTGGACACCGAAAGTGTTGACACTGCCGGCTATGTTATTCGGAACGCCATTGCCATTGGTGTTGACACACTGGGCATAGACAGTCGCCGTGTAAGTCGGAACGACGACAGTGTTGGTAGAGGTGCTCCAAGTCCTGCGACTGTTAGAACTGGCGAATTAAGCTTATCGCATGATCAAGAAAACTTACGTAGTTGTGGATGTAGTGACATATGTTGATGGAATTGTACTGGTAGTCCACGAAGTTGACAAGGCATCAGGAGTGCTGAGCCAAGAGCTTGAAGTCAACGTTTTGGTAGTTGATATCGTTGTTGTTATCGGGTCTCGCGTGACGAAGTGAGCCTTTGTAGCCGTACGAATGACTGTTGAGCGTACCCAGGATGTCACAGTAGTCAGACAATTCACTTGTTTGGGGTACGTCTTGGGTGGCGTTTTGAGCGACGTCTTGGGCACTCGCTTGCTCTTCAAGGTTAGAGGAGAAGCAGCACCTCGGATAGCATGGCGTTTCTTCTTCTTGGCCGCACTGTTAGGCAGACTTGAAAAGATAGGGGTGAAGGCCGATGGAGTTGAAATTGTCGTTGCGCCAGGCATGGTTAAGGTTGAGGATGAATCAGTCGACGTTGACGATGTGATGACAGATGTTGAGGTAGAAGTGGTGACACTAGTCGTAACAGTTGTGCTTACAACGACATCCTTAATTTGAAACGTTAGAGGAGACTCCAGGGACTAAATCAAGTAACCCGACTTAGGACAGCACTTGTACTTACGGTTGACTGAGGAATACTAATCGTAGTAGTAGTAGTCTTGAAGAAGGGTTTGAAGGAAGTCTTCTTCGGTGGATCAACAACAATAACCCTAGGACAGGATTAGACAGGTAAATCATCCAAGGCTTGGAATTACATACGGCGTTCTGTTAACGATTACCTGTAATTTGCCTGTAACTGTACGGGTCTGGGTAACAGTTGGTACTGCTTTGCCAAGTGGAGCTGTTGCTACTATTGTAACACAGCTCTCTTGGCCATTTGCATGGCATCCTCGCAAGAGGCCAAGAACACCGAGGTAGAGTATGCACTTATCGGCCACATAGTTACTGATTTGCGGATGTCACTTCTTGGCAAGAGAGCCCTGTTTCTCTTATAGATCATTTCCTCCACACGACTAAGTAAATATTTTTGTATAGCTGCTGCTTATAGCTAGCTTAACTATAAATGGTGCTTCTGGAAAGCATGGTTCAAATATCCACCGTCTAAGCGCTAGCTAAGATGGACAAAGATGCAGTGGGAGCTCCTTTAATCCTGATGGCAAAATGGGAGCCACATTGAAGGCGAACAAGTCCTTTCGGGGCAGCGTTCAAACATACCAGCAACTCAAACAACCCGAACTTGATCTTATCTAGCGGGTTCTAGTCTTGGAAATTCATCTCGTGTAGACCTCATATTAAGACATAACTGGTAGGAAAGGTCGCTTAATTCGCTAAGCTAAGGTTTAATAGGAATGCAACGCAATAGTTCAGAGCCTGGACTGCATGCCGTTTTACCCGCTATCGGGGATAGCCTAGTGTCTCAACGCTTGTAGGGTAGTGTCAAATTGAAAAGTGCATCCGGCTGCTGCAAACGAACAGAATTGCCATGTTCAATTGAGGACAGGGCGTCTACAACAGTCGACCAGAAACCATATACGACTCGCGTTACCGAGGGTTCGGTTAGTTCAAAAACAGTTAACCCGTTCAGAAGGTGTCGACAGGAATGCTCCATTTATACATTTTCTACCAATGCATGGTCCTTACCCTTATCTCCATAGTGAATCGCTTCTCGGGACAGGTTGTTCCGTGCCCAAGTTGGAAACCTGAAGGCTAGTACTAATTTAGAAAGGCGTTGAATCTCTTGCTTTTAATAAGACACATAAACTCGCTTTATAATTTATTTCACAATACTTAGGGAAGCGGTCAATACTAGACATTACCACCTGTCTCAAACTCCAGTCGCAGTTATGAACGTCCAGTCATACCAATCGCCAGAACTTGCTGCCCAAGTGGCATCCCTTCCTCCACCACCGCAACTCCTCCTCTTTGGAGACTCCATCACCCAGGGCGCCTTCTTACTCCAGAACGAGCTGGCGAGACGGTATGTTCGACGGCTCGATGTACTCAACCGGGGCTTTGGCGGATACAACACAAGCTCAGCTTTGACATTGCTGCCGTCATTCTTCCCAGCAGTGGCACCTTCGAGAACTGTTCCTCGCGTCGCTGCTATGACGGTCCATTTTGGCGCCAACGACTCTTGTAGCCCTGGCGAGCCTCAGCATTGCGACCTCGACAACTTCAAAGCAAACGTCAGGCGTATTCTAAACTGGGAGGGTGTCAGGCTTCACAAGACCAAAGTACTCCTTGTGACACCGTCTCCAGTGGAAGAGTATCGGCTGCCACATGATGGAAATGGCAGGGCGGACCGAGTGGCGATGTATGCAGACGGGATTCGGGATATTGGGAAGCAGGAAAACGTACCAGTTGTTGACCTTTGGGCTGCAATGATGCGCACTGCTAATCGGGGAGATACTGCAGTTCATGGAATCTTGCCTGGGTCTTCAAGGACAGTCCCCAGCATGGAGCTTGGGCGACTCTTCTACGATGGTCTTCACTTGAATGAGGAAGGGTATCGGATCTATATGGAAGAGCTTTTGCGTGTTCTTGAAGTGAAAGTTCCCGAATGTCGGATAGAAGGCACCGACGAGTGGTATCCCGAGTGGATTAGATTTCACCCCCCGGCGACATTGAATGTAGTTGAAGACGAAGCCTATCTTGCTTCAAAGAGGGCGAAATGAATGAGCCACTGCGTGCCATGCGGGAGAATATCCTAGAAGCTGTACAGGAACGATTTTAGTGTGTAATGGCAAACCTTGCAAGGCATAAGCAGAGTATAGATAGTAGGGATATTACGTCAAATTTGTTTTTCTTAAAGAATAACACAGCATACCACATTACATACTATAGCATTGGATTGATTGATAGCTAAAAATGGTACATAGAATAAAATTGATATATACATCAGCTGCCGCAAGTCCTGCCCACAAGCCGTGCTGTATTCTGCCCTGTTATTTGTCACTGGTGAAGTCGCAGAACTTGGCCATGACGCCCATCGCTGACACTGCAAACATCTCGACTACCTAAGAATCATCCTAGTTTGAGCGATGAGAGGAAGCTCGACGACGGGCAGCAGTCGAGACAGCCTTTGTGCTTATGGCATGAGCATGGTCAATCACCACATCCTGGTACTCCTGCGTGCCATAGAAGATGGCATAGTCATCGTAAGGGTTTGCACCGCTTGGAAGGTTTGACCCAAATTGCCAGAAACTATCATATGCAATGTCGCTGTCAATGATCGTTTGTTGCCACTCTTGCAGGATAGCTGTGCGGTTTGAGGCTGTGCTCTCAACACCATATTCCTCTAGAACAATAGGCTTGCCATACTTGAGTGCCAGTGCCGCGTGGTCACGGATCCATTGGTTGCCCCAGGGATAAGTGTAACCCCAACCAATTGGGTACATATGAGCAGTGCCGTAGTCAACTGTGGAGATCTTCAGATTGGCTTCAAAATCAATTCCCTCGGAGCAGGAGTACGCATAGCCGAGACTAGTGTCGTCAGAACAGAGCCAGCCTTCGTCGCCCAAGGACACACGATGTTTTGGGTCTAGAGATTTGATGAAGCTTGATAGATCTGTGGCCCAGCTGGTGATTACACTGGTGTCGCAGTTCTGGCAACGTGGTTCGTTGCAGAGCTGCCAGGAGAAAATGGCGGGAGAGTCCTTGTAGCGATTGACGATGAAGGTTACATAGTCCTTGTAGGCTTTCTGAGCCTCTGCATGGGTCCAAAAGGTCTCGTGGGTGCATCCAAAGTAGGCACAGTAAGTGTTGATCCCGCCCAGGTCATCCCAATTGTTCAGCATGGGTAGGACCAGCTGGATGCCGTGCTTCTCTGCGGCAGCAACAGCGGCGTCAAGGCGCGCGATGCCGTTGGTACCATTGTTGATCGTGATGGTTTTCTTGGTCGTGTCGAGGAACTGAAAGTAGACAGGCTGATCGGTTCCTGTGTTGGTGTTGCCAAATGCCCAGACACGAGTGACCTTGAGCCCACTGTCGGCTATCTGTGACATGGCCTGTTCGACATCGTCGTCTGACGTAAGGTGGCTCATCCACCAGGTGTTGGTGCCAGCGAAGTATTGGTTCTTCCCATTGATGTTGAAAACCGGTGCCACTTCTCTGTGTTTTGGCCAGCTCTTGGCGGCCGATGCCGCTGCAAGAGCAAACAGACTGAGTGAAGTGAAGATTCTCATAGCGATGAGATACAGGTTACTTGGAGAGGCTTGCACTAACCAGGGCAGATGTCTGAGTTGTATTTGGCTGTTGCTGGGAACCGGCAGAGATTTATATGGTCATACATCGACAATAATAGATGGTGGTGTACTAAAGAGCAAGGGACTCAAACGTCCCCCGGAGTTAGTTTGATTAGTACGTCTTAAGACCCGCACTGTAAATGGCAATCTTTGTGAATATCATCTTGCGGGTGACTTGACCGACTAAATCTGACCCTGGGGCCTGTTGGCTATTCTGATCGAACCGGGTTCCCTGGCAATAGTGTTGTTACAAACTAAGTAGAAGTGGATGCTAAATTTCAGTGACTTGACACGCCGAATTTAAATTACGATCACTTCCACATACCATGCATCCCTTTTCTTTATTGTTTCTTTGATATAGTAAATGAACCTCGCTATCCCGTAGAATTTATGTTAGTGACATGATATTCATTCAGTTTATTTGCGAGTAATACACGGCGTTGTTGGGTTCTTCGCACTTCATCGTGTGATGTCCATTTTGCCAATGGCTCATTGCATCCCTCATCCCTGTTGGTCTGCCTCCCCCGCACTTGATCATCCGATCATTTGACTTTATACGGAGTATTGTGTGATTGAATCGATTATCCCCCGCGGGGAAGCGGATCGACCCTTCTATGGTGGAGTTTTCGTACTCCAGGTCAGCTAACGCATTCAGGCGCGGTTAGTCTCCTTCCGACCCAATTTAGGCTCGGTTCCCGCTTCAAATCAAAGACAGTCCAGCGTGGTTATGTGGGAACATCACCGGCATGTGCCGACCAAAGGACCAATCCTAAATCGTGAAAGACATAGCTGCAGGCATGGCCACGGATCACCGTTACCTCCACCCAACTTTACTCATTCAGGCGCGGGTAACCTCGTCCCGAAAACACATCCAACATCAACTCATCGATTCGGTTCAGTTAGGGTTGACCCGTCCCCACATCTAACAAAGCCGATTCGGCATGGATATGCCGAGTCAGATCACGACATGGTGATAGATATTTAAGTTGTTGTAATCCATAGCATGATGCCTTGATTGTCTTTCTTTACTCACGGAATTCCTCTTCAGCAATTCCTATACCACAATGCAGAAAGAAGACGAAAAAGTTGAGGCCGTGGAGAGGGTCCCTGACCCGGCAGCTGCTGATCTGGCGACATCCAAGACAGCAAAAGTCGAGAATGTTGCTTATAGTGATGCCATTGCAAAGGACAACCTCTCTCCGCGCGCAGCGTCTATTCTCAAGCTCTATGCAATTATTGCTCTTGTCACGTTGAGTAAGGAACCTCATCACAATAAGCAATTACCCTACAGATATTAACTATTGACAGATAATTGCGGCAATGGCTTTGATGGAACTATCATGTCATCCATTAACGCTATGGATCCCTTCCATAAGTTCTTCGGCACTGAAATGCAAGGTTCCTCGATTGGAGCCGTCTTTGCTCTCTACAGCGTCGGAAATATTCTTGGCTGTCTTGTTGCTGCTCCTGCTGCCGACATGTTTGGACGAAAGTTTGGCATGGCCACCGGATCAATCTTTGTCATCGTTGGCACTGTGATCCAAGCGGCGGCCCAGAATGTGGGGACATTCATGGCGGGGAGATTGTTTCTCGGTTTTGGCTGCACCATCGCAGTGACTGCATCTCCTATCTATCTCGTTGAGATGGCCTACCCTTCTTGGCGTGGAACCCTGGCTGGTCTATATAATGTTGGCGGTTGGTATATTGGATCGCTGAGTAAGTTTCGGTTATAGAACAAAGCTTACGGTTCTTGAACTGACATGATGACAGCATCTACATGGACTGCCTATGGAACAGGACGATTAACTTCGAATTGGTCCTGGAGGATCCCCATCATCATTCAGGTCGTCCCCGCAACTATCATCCTTTGCGGCGTCTGGTTCATCCCGGAAAGTCCCAGATGGCTTATGAGTCACGGCAAAGAAGAGCAAGCACGAGCTGTGCTCATCAAGTATCATGGAGATGGGAATCCTGAATCAGCTGTTGTGAAACTCGAGCTTGACGAGATGCGTGCATCCATCGAATACCAAGCAGAAATGGAAGCCAGCCAAAAGTGGTGGGATTACCGGATGCTCTTCGACAACAGGGAGAACCTGCACCGATTTTACTTACTCTTCTTGGTCGCCATTTTCTCTCAGTTCATCGGTGGCTCAGTCATCACCTACTACATGCCCGTCATTCTAGAGAATGTTGGTATCACCAGCTCTTCTCAACAGCTTCTCCTCAACGGTGTCAATGTCATTTTCGGGTTCTTCAGCGGCGTTGCAGGTTCATTTGGTGTTGAGAAGTTTGGACGCAGGCCTCTATTTCTTTGGGGTGAGTTGACCTCCATCCATCTCACGTATAATCATGACTGACATTTCCCAGGTACCTTCTTGACAGGCCTCGTTTATATCCCAATCAACGTCATCGCAGCCAAAGCTCATGGTCACGTCGATACATCGACCGGTTACGCATTCATTGCAATGATCTTCTTATACGGTATCTTCTGGTCTTTCTGTTGGACGCCTCTGCAGTCTCTATACCCAAGTGAGGTCCTGCGCAATGACATCCGAGCAAAGGGTATGGCCGCCTCTGGCTTCTTTAGTGGTGTCTCAGGGTTCATCAACACGTATGCCACACCAGTCGCTCTTCAAAAGATTGGTTGGAAGACATACACAATTTTCCTCATCTTGCATTTTGTGGAATGGGGGATGATGTATTTCGCTCTCGTCGAGACCAAAGGCCGGTCGCTCGAGGAAATCGACGATATCTTCAAGTCTCCTAATCCTGTCAAAACATCCAAGCAGAAGCACGAGGTTTACATCAAGGAAGGTGCAGGTGTCACTGCCGACTTGGGCGCAAAGGAAGCCTGAATCTAATTGTTGTTCATGGAGACAACATGAAGACGTTGAACACGGTCGTGTATGGCCAATGATGGACTTTTAGCATGCTCCTTTCGATACCGGAGCCAAGCCACCAGGTTCTAGTGTCTGTCTTTTGGTAGTGTTGAAAGTATGCCTACTGCTAGATAGGACTGAGATAAATGAGATTATTAGGAGTGTTCTCTATGGATTCATCGTTACCATTGTATAATCCTACTCCTCCCAGCAACGTCGTCGAGTTTCTCCCGCCACGTCCGCAGCACGACACGCGCCTCTCTCGATCCTATAAACGCAAATGTGATGTTAAATATGCGAAACACTGGATCAACCTGCTCCTCCCCGTTCTGCCCTTCCTTCCCCTCGCCTCCATCAGTCCCTGCATCCAAGCCTTGCTCCAGCCGGTACTCACACGCCGCCTCCCTCTCCCTGTCCATGATGGCCTCTGCGAGACTTGCAGAGATGAGACTATCCCAGCCACCCTCCAACCTCGGTCGTCTGAGCAGTGTCACAGCACGGCGGCGGGTTGAGTGTCCGATACCACTGTGGGCGACGAGAAAGAGATGCTGTGTATAGGATACTCGACGGGTCTTCACAGGATCGAGGTTCATGATCTGCTCGGCGAGATCGACTATAGACTTGTACAGGGCTGGAAGGTCATTGTGGCGCTTCTCCAAGTCATCTTCCTCGGGATCCTGAATCAAGACAAGGCGATTCGCGGTTTGAAAGAGTTGCAAGGGGAGTATGGTATGCGGCTCCAGCTTCATTGCGTCTACCTCGCGCTGAAAGATATCAATTGCTTTCTTTATTTGGTTGTAGCATCGCGTATGTGATTCTTGTCGCGCTACGAGCATGGACAGTCCTTCTGGTCCGGATTTGCCACTTTGAAGGTCCCCGAGCTGCTTAGCATGTTCTTGCGAGAAGAGGATCAGTCCACTGAACAGAGACTCAGCAGCGCGGTAGGCCTGACTAATACTCTCTGGCGTTGATCGGTGTGTAGATCGTGGTGCTGTATAGTAGCGCCATGCGTGAAATGTCTTGTTTTGCAACAGCAAGGTCGGGCTCTCAGTTATACCGCCATGGTCAAGTGCTTCTAGCTGCAGCTCAAGGGCGACCAGGATGGACTGTATCGGTGCAATGGATACTGGAACTGACGAGATCCAACCCTCCTCTTGTGAGACTTGCGGGAGCTGTTCCTGATTCAAAGTCGTCCTACCTTTCGTAGCGAGACTTTGGAGTTCGCGGAGGAGATTGCATCCAGCTTCCAGGTGTAACCGTGTCTGATCGTGAAGTCCTTTAATCGTGCATACATACGTAAATATAGTGCTGACGATAAGCGCTCTCCACCGATCTGCATGCCTCGGCGACGTTGACTCGGTGAGACAACGAATGGCCGAATTGAACTGCTTCAGGGCGAAGACACTGCGCGACCCTTGGCCATGCTCTGTAGAGTCCTCGTGGGCAGAACCAAGGCTGACAACGGCGTGCCAGATAGCCGAGTCGGACACGCAGACGCGTGGCACCTCGGCAAGCCAAAAGTCGGCGTAGAAAGCCCCGGCAAGAGATGGCGCCGTGACTTCAAGAAAGAAACGGTAACTTCGTACCTCTTGGGGGCTCTGTCGTGGTAGGATGAGCTTGAGATCGGCAGTTGCGTTGTAGGAGTCGAAGGATTGAGGGGAAGGTGGTGAAGAGGATGATGATGAATGAGATGATGATGCAGGAGGAGGAGACGGAGAAGTGTACCCGTCACATGTGCGGCCGGTGGATGTACAACGCTCACAGGCAGGCTTGGCTTGGTCGCATTTTACCCTGCGAATCCTGGTAGAGACCTTGCGTTAGAGTGCTGGGGTGCATATAAAGCCGGGGATACACGCCACAAGACACAAGAGCGACATGGCGTGCATGTGAGTTATTTGAACTGACCTGCAAGTCTGGCAGCCCGTCTTCACTTTGCGGTGATACGCCCGCCGTCGTTGACCGGTGCCAGCCAGGGCCACTTTGGAGAGATCGTCGACCATGACACACGCAAGAGTCAACCAGCAAATTGAACCGGAACGTAGTGTCGTTTCTTTTGCAGAGATTCTAGCGGATAGCAGCAGTTAAAGCAACACGTATCAGCCCAAGCGATGTGCAACGATTAGTTATCTGCACTGAAGTATCAACCATGAAATTGGAAGTGCAATCATTCGCTTCCAAGTAGGTACTCGTAGGGCAAGGGAAATTGGGTGAAATTGAAAGTTCTAAGCTTTGATGGACTTCGGAGTATCAATTTCCCGACACGATGAGACCCTGGGCTATGGTGGATAAGACACAATGATCTACGCTCAATTAGTACTAAAACGGACAAAGAACGAACGAGCTGGCCAATCACAATACAAGTGCAGTAGCGGCCGATGCTCATTTGTCCATCTGGCTGTGACAGGAAGGATAAGCATGACTGACGATTTTTATACCGTCGTCATTTCCGAAATTTCATTAGAGTTACACGAGCTCAAGTGGCGGTGCCTTAAGCGAGCCGGCCACTCAGAGTGTCTGCTACATACTCTAGAATAGTTCTTGGCCAGAATATGCCTGTTATTGCCTTGGCGTAATGGAAATCCCATACACATACACGCGTGTCCATGAGCTCTTGCTCACGCGCCTTCTCCTATAAGTTGATCATGCTACCCGATTTGTAGATTCCTCTTTCTTTGCCTCTCATTCTAACCCTAAGTTTTCGTCCCTCTCGTTATGAACTATCTTGCTCTTGCCCTTTCTCTGAGCCTCGCTGTCTTGCCGCAGCAGGCCAATGCTCAAGAGACCCCATGCCCTCTACTAGGTGCCATCTTTCCGCCTCTGCAGCATCCACTCCAGTCCAGTGCTTTCTCGGATACCATTGCTGAGCTCAATACCACCTTCAACGAGCTTGACCGCAATGGCACTCTTGAGGGGCTCAACACTACCTTCTACATCCAGGCTTTCTCCGCTTCAAACACTCTGTTTAAGCATGGATACGTCCCTCCCTCCATGAAAGGTTTCTTAACTTCAGGGAGTCTCAACGAGAATACCGTGTTCCGCGTGGGCAGTGTTTCCAAGCTTCTTACTGTCTATACCTTACTCGCTGAGGTTGGGATGAAACGCATGAACGATCCAGTGACGAAGTGGGTGCCTGAGCTCGCTCTAGCAGCCAGGAGGGACAAGGGTGATCCCACCCGCAAGGTGCAGTGGGACGAGGTTACTATTGGGCAGCTTTCCGGCCATATGGCTGGCATCAGCCGAAACTGTAAGTACCGCCCCGAGAAGAGGCAAACTCATTTCTTCTAATACTAGCATGGAGTCGGATTCTTCGATATGAGTTCCGTTCTCGAATCAACTCACCAGAGTCCCGAGTTATATGGTCTCCCGATCCTTAGCAAGAAAGAAAAACCACAGTGTAGTGTCTCAGACCCATCTCTGAAGCCTTGCTCCCGCAAAGGTACATATCCCTGCGCAGCTTGTTGGACGCTTTTGCTGATAAATTTCCCGCAGAGTTCTTCCATGGCATCACGGCACAGGGCTTCTTCCCCATCACATCCACAGCAAACACCCCGGTGTACTCCAACGTCGCGTACCAAATACTTGCCTATGCTCTCGAGGGCATGACGAGAAAGCCATTCAACAAATCTTTCCAATCCTCCCTACTCGACCCTCTGTCGATGAAGCGAACAAGTCTCGAGGCACCCAAGAGTAGAAAAAACGCCATGATCCCCGAGAATGAGCAGCTCTCATGGTGGAACATCACCACAGCAGATGGCAGCCCGTAAGTGCAGTCACCTTCATTACACCTCTCACATTGGTAACTTCCCACAGCTATGGCGGCATGTTTTCTACAGCTGCAGACCTCACACGCATGGGCCAATCTATCCTCAACTCTTCTATACTCAGCCCCTCCGAAACCCGCTCTTGGATGAAGCCCATTGCCCACACCGCGGACATTCACATGTCTGTCGGTATGCCTTGGGAGATCCGGCGCACGTACATTCCTCTCGGCCGCAGCGAAACCCGGGTCGTTGATCTTTACACAAAGAACGGCGCGATTGGGCTTTACACGGCGATTGTTGTCCTTTCACCAGATCACGAAATTGGCTTCGTGGCGCTAATCGCAGGAACTAACCGTGCCTACATGCTAAGCTATCTTCCCGACCTCCTCTCGCAGACACTACTGCCAACCGCCGAAAACACGGCCCGTGATACCGCCGTTACGCGATTTGCTGGCACTTTCGAAGGCCCCAAGAGTCGTCTGACTGTTACCATGAGCGATACTCTCGTGGTCAGGAACTGGACTCGCGATGGGGTCGACGTGCTGGCCATGCAGGCTGCGCTTACATGGCCAGGGCTGGACTTGATACCGGTGCTAAGGCTGTATCCAATGGGCTTGGAAGGAAACAAGAGAATCTCTTTTAGAGGTGTCTTTGAAGCTCACCTTGCAGATGAATCAACATCAGAGGCTGAGACAAACGCGACAGAAGCAAGTGCTGGCCCTTTTAGTGGAGGTTGCCTGTCGTGGGGAGGAGTTGACTCGTTGACCTATGGCAACATTGGGGTTGATGATTTCGAATTTGAGATTGATGACAATGGCAAAGCAACCAGGCTTACACCAAGAGTTATGAGGGAAACTCTGAAGAAGGTTGATTAAGTGTCTCATGGGTCCGTGTACTATTCTCAAAGCAGCTACAGTTATCCTAGTCTAAACTCAATTGCTGGTTGACCGAAGCGCCCAGAGTCATGAGCCTGGTAGTAGCGAAAGCTTCCAACTTGGTAGAAATACATATAAGGATAAGAAGAATCCTCTCCACCTTCTGGAATGCAGTCCAGGTATCTGTTTTCGCCCTCTGTGCATCTTGCATAAGCCACAAAGTATTCTGGTTGTCTTTTTTCTTCATTCATAAATCGGAATCCATAGTTGCTACACTGTGTACAGCTCACGGCATAGAACTTTTCGCCGTTGGGAAAGACGGCGTAGAGTCGAGAGGTTTCGGGGTCCAGACCAAATAGGGCACCAGCTGACTTCGCATTCGGATCGCTAATGATGTAGCCATTTTCATAGTCATCATCATCCATGGGAAGAAATGCGTTGACTTCGGAGCCATCTTCAACAGAAACAGCAGTCAGAGTCGTTCCCAACGGGATATCAATTGATGTTGTCGTCGTCGTGCTATCGGGAAGACCAGTGGAGGTCAAGACTTCAGCAAGCGATATAGTTGTTGATGGTTCGTCAAGTGTCAAGGTTGTTAACAGCTCGGAAACTACCGTGGAAGTTGATACTCCGGTAAGTGCGGTTGCGGTTGGGGGCTTGCCGGTGGTGGTGGCGATTGAAGATTTTATAATTACAGTGGCCTGTATTAAAGTTAAAGTGTATTTTCTAACCTTATAATTAACTTATAAACTTAACTTTACTACTACCTTCTAATTACCCTAAACCTTCTTACTAACCTTTTTTCCTAATTACACTAATATATATATTATTATAAAACTTTCTTTAGGTTAAGCTTTTCTTATATATTAGTATTTCTTACTAAATTTAATAGCTATATACTATATATATAAGATATTAAATATACCTTATTTACTAAGCCTTTTATAAGTTAACTTATATAACTAAGGTCTTTTTTATATTTATAATATTAAAGACTTTATAGGTTAATTATAAGCTATAAGTTAATTAGTAACTAAATCCAAGCTATATTTTCTTTTATAAGCTTAATCTTTTTTTTTCTTTTTTTATCCTTTTTAAGGTTTATTTTTTTTTTTAAGTTTATAAGTTAGCCTTAAAAGGTATATCTAAGTATCTTTAAAGTCTAGTATAATTTAAATATTAATTACCTTTTAGGGAGTAAAGCTTTATTTAGTTAATATTATTAAGTTAGTAGCCTTATTTACAGCCTAAACCTTATTACAGATAGGCCAGCTTAAAAGCCTTATTTACTCTTTAGCTAGCTTAAATCTTTTTTATAATGGTTAGGGTTTTAAACAGGGAAACTAGTCCGTACTAGGTTTATGTTTACAGATTGCGTAGAGCATTATACTAAGCATATTAGTTTTAAAGTCATATCTCTTAATAGTTATAGATAAGGCTTATTAAGGTAAAGAAGTGTTATTAATAGCTAGTAAGCTAAGTTCTATCTAATGCTAAATAAATATATATATATACTTAGGTAGCTTATGGTATTATAAGCCAGGCTTATAGTAAGTTATAAGTTAATATTATAAGCCATATTATAAGGCTTATAGTACTAACAGGGTTAAAGTATAAGCCACCTGGCAATTAGTAAAAAGAAGTAAGGTACACGTAATATAAGCGCTTTTACCTATTAGGTTATAATATAATCTCCCTCCCTTCATTAGTCTTATCCTCAAGACCTGCTTATCCATTCTTTCCTACATTACCCTGGTAAGTTCTTAACTTAAACCTATAATATTTCTACATAATTACTAATACTATATTAGAATCTAAAGCTACTTGTAATTACTAAGCATAAGCAACTTTAATTAAAAATACTAGTTTTACTATTATACTATGCAGTTATTATAAGCCTTAGGGCCTTAAGTACTAGGCTAAGGAAAGTTATTTTAAGTATACTTAATACACGTATTGTAGTTATAGATATAATAATAAGGGTATCTTAGTGCTTAAAGGTTTATTTTTACGTATTCTTATGTCCTTTATACACTAACTTCTATAGCTAATTACTTTACCGCTAAAAAGCGTTGTTTAGAGTATAAAAAGGAGGTTACTAAGACTAAATTATTACAGTTACAGTAATAAGTAAATAAGTATTTAAGCCATCTTATGCAGCTCCGTTATTAGAAAAGACAGTTATAGTCTTGTAGTAATAAAATACTTTATTATAACGTTAAGACTATAGATAATCTAAAGGCTCTTAATAATATAGAATTGTTCGCTACTATAAAGGCACAGCTATCAGGTACTGCAGATATTATTAACTAGGGTAAGGTTTTTCTTAACCCTTCTTTATCTAGTAAAAATTTGTTAGGAGTT